TTTAGACTCTCCCTCAAGTTCATTTTTGAGTCCTATAAGTAGACCAATAAAGTATCCTGGATACCAGCATTATCATACATAAGAAATTGGTTTAAATCTTGAGTAAATGAGGAAATTAAAAATGAACTGATTCTAAAAAAGCTCTGGTTTGCCACTATGGTCCGGACGTGAGGCAAGTGGTGAATAACCAAGTCCTCAGAAATTGGACATATGAAGTAACAAATATTAGTGTTAAATGACAGATTTTGCTCATTCTATATATACTATTATTGCGCTGATAGGGTTATTACCTTATTAGGGATTCTACGGTTAATGAAAGGCGTCAGAAATAATTTCATCATTGTAATTAATGAAAAATAATTTTGAGTGTGAAATTTTTTGTAAATAAAATATGTCCTGACATAACTGTCATCAGAAATTCCCAACATTGTCTTTACATACTTTTACGCAATGCTGCTTCATTGTCATGTGATGACGTCTTGGACAAATTTACGGCCGTACTTGCGGCCGGTTTCGTGGCTGGACTCTGTACCTGAAATATCTCCAATAGTACTGAACGTAGCTCAATGAAACTTGGTACACATATTCATTATGGCCTAACGGTGATGTCAAGCTCGTGACAATTATTTTTAATATTGCCTTCATTTGTGAGTTATATGATGAAACGTACTGAAATTTGCAGTGTACCACTACGTCTCGGACAAATTTACGGCCGGTCTCGCGGCCGCCAGACTAAAAACTTAGAAAAAACCTAGCCAATCAACGAAAACCTCACAGGTTAGGTCCAGTTAGGAACAGGTTCCATTAAAAACACAAAAAACCTAGAAAAACTCATAAAAACGCTAAGAAAACCTTTTGGCCGCGAGACCGGCTGCCAGTCCGGCCGTAAATTTGTCCGAGACCTGTGTACCAGCCATTTCTTCTGAAATACTGAACAGATTTTAATGAAACTTTGCATATAGAAACCTAACCTCCCAATGGTGTGATGTTTAGCTCGTGACAATTTTTTACGTTTTGCCTTCGTTGGCGAGTATTTTTCTCTTTTCCCTCACTCGTGATTTAAACAGCAAAATTGTGTTTAAATTCGCAGTGTACCAGAGATTTCTTCTAAAATACTGAACAGATTTGAACGAAACTTTGCAAATAGAAACCTAGCCTCCCAACGGTGATGTTTAACTTGTGACAATTTTCTCGATTTTGCCTTCGTTTGCTAGTTATACAGAGAAACGACCAGCCTTTCTCAGGCCGATTTTTGAACTTGCATTGACCAAGAGCCATATACATAAAGCCGTATAACTCGCAAGGAAGGCAAAATTGACAAAATTGTCACAAGCTAAACACCACCGTTGGAAAGTTAGGTTTCTCTATGCAAAGTTTCTTTCAAATCTGTTCAGTATTTTAGTGAAATCTCTGGTACACTGCGAATTTAAACACAATTTTACTTTTCAAATCACGAATGAGGGAAAAGAGAAAAATACTTGCCAACGAAGGCAAAACGTAAAAAAATTGTCACGAGCTAAACATCACACCATTGGGAGGTCAGGTTTCTATATGCAAAGTTTCGTTCAAATCTGTTCAGTATTTGAGAAGAAATCTCTGGTACACTGCAAATTTTAGCATGTTTTATCATTGAACTCACAAATGTAGGCGATATTAAAAAGAATTGTCACGCACTTGACATCACCGTTAGGCCATAATGAATATGTGAACCAAGTTTCATCAAGCTATGTTCAGTACTTTGGGAGATATTTCAGGTACAGAGTCCGGCCGCGAGACTGGCCGCAAGTACGTCCATAAATTTGTCTGCGATGTATAAGTCTCTTGAAGCTATTCATATTTTATCAATGTTTGTTGTTAGTCTATATAATTAACCTTCAAAGTTGCAAAAAAATAGAGCTGACAATTTAAAAAAAAGTGCGGTGCCGGTATTTTTGTTTTCAATGGGTTTGCACCGCACAAACCCATTTCTCCAGCCGGGAGGATGTCGGGAACGCAACATATTCCTGACATTGACATTTGGGTTTGTACTATTTGCCAAAGTCAGTCCTTCGTTAGAAGGAGCCAATCTCAAGCCATGTGGATTGTCGCCTTCTATTATTCAGTTTTGTAATTGATTTCCAACCGAATTGTGATCTATGAATATTTATTCATAACATTGCCGACTCTTAGAACCTGAGTCAACACGTTAGAAATCTCCTAGTCAACGTGATGCAGATATTTGTTCGTGTGTGATAGCGTTGCCGCGCATTCATCTTTAAACAACTTTAGGAGCAAGGCGCAGGCTGGCATATTACGGCATATATTGTTACCGGCATATTACGGCGCACGGCGCAAATTAATGCAATGATAAGAAAAATTCCCGCGCACCTGTCACATCTTCCTGACCGTGGGACAAGCATAGAAATAAGCATAAATTTGAATTTCTGGAGCCACTACAAGACTAACAAGAAAGTATGGAAAATTATTAGATAAATTTGTTGATAGATTTTCCTCAAATCCTCATAATATTGGAGTAAATTGCTGATAGAAATTCCATACAAAGCATTTGCTATTATGCTATGCTGATAGAAATTAGAAATTGATATTTTTTAAACTTATTAAGTCAAATGCCAAGGGAAACCATCTATCTGAAATTTGGTTTAATTTTTAGAAGCTACATACTGGAAATCAATTAAATTAATATTGTTCCTTGTGATTAAAAAAAGGGACTTTTCAAAGATTTCTGGGTTATTATTAAAATAAAAAAATAGTATGGTTACAAACTTAAAACCTAAAGTTGTCAAAAAAATTATTAGGTAAACAAACTTAACTTTACTCAAATACTTTAAACTTCCTTTCAGAACATGCTGCCTGGTGGCGGTGCCTGCTGGCAGGCTCAGCCTGCAGGAATGGATAAACTTTGGCTAACATCTATTTTATTTGGACAAAATTGATATTGGCTAGTGAAGTGTTAGTTCTCAATAAATAATGATAGAAAGTAGCAACTAATTAATAATGATCATAGCAGTAGCACTAGGGTAAACGCGGCATATTCCGACACATTAAGGACATAGCAAAAAATTAATGGCTATAAAAAAATCACCGTATACGCAACTCAAGTTCTGTTTACTTTACGTCACTCTCAAAACCCTGCACTATGGGCCAGTAACTATGAAATGTCATAAAATGTTGCCATATTTATTTAAAAGCCTTTAGAATGCAAACCTACCATATCCATATATTCCGACGCTGTGTGTGACTAAATTTGGCATTTTGTGAGACTAATTCGGGCCATGCTTCCAACTCTACTAATTCACAATTCCAACCCTCTTGTGTTCGAATTCCGATCGCTGTGTGAGCTGTATTGGAATACGACACAGCTCAGAATTAGAACACTATTGGATATTGAACACTACTTAATTAGGCTTTTAATTAAGAGCTATTAAGCTTTTAATTAAGAAAATTTTAATTTTTGCACACAGCTCGGAACGAGCTGTGTGTGTCTAATACCAAGCTGTGTCGGAATTAGTTTTTATGTGTCTAAAACCGTCTCTTAACTTAATCATCTATTAATTTATTTACAAGTTGAAATCAGCAAATACAAGTATACTTAAAGGATTCCTAATATGTTCACATACTCATTTAAAAGTCTCAAACCAAAATATTCTTTCTACACAGTTTATCACTATTTGGTAGAGCAAGGTCAACTTTCAACTTTGACACGTTTTTTGTTGTTCTCACTGGGTGATGTGCACTCTCTCTTTGGATCTCAATATTTTCCTGCCAAACGGCCCAGACCTAGTGTTTTGGCAATACTATGGCGTGCAATAGTAGGTATGGCGTCACTATTTCAACCATCAACAAATGCGGGGAACTAAGACAAAGCTTAATATAAAGGAAAAAGTTGAGAAGTGTCGGAATTATCCACGATGTCGGAATATACCGCGTTTACCCTAAGATGATGATAGTTTGTTTTGAAGATGCCATAATTGACCACTCTAGCAGCCAGGCCACTTGCTGCATCTCAGAGACTCATGAGATGGCAGTGCTATGTAATGTTTAATTTAGTTGTTGTAGCATTATCCATTTCCAGTTATCAGCGGCAGGATTTACTTGGACTGGTAAATGTCTCAATGCAGCCAGAATGGCTCAATGCAGCCAGCCAGTATTTGAAAGAAATGTGATCATGGTGACATGGCCTTTATTACAAGATGTGGTTCCTATTAATAAAATCTCTGCCACCAACCAATGTGCACACTGTCAGAGAAGGCCTGAAGGAGTTAGCTATATGCTATATCAAGTGCAGTGGTTGCTTCAGAATTGTAAGAGTGCTCCATAAGGAGAGCCAGTCTGTACAAAGTGTACATCAGCCACAGAGCCAACTGCACTCCCTGTATGCAGCAGCAGATTGACAGAGCTGAGATGAGGGCCTTTCCTTTTTCAGCAAGGGAGACCTTCTGCATTGCTGGCAATGCTTAATTTTTGACCTCTGGCACAAATAACTTGATAGCTGAAGCACTAGCAAACCATCCTGCTACTAGTACTTGAAATTTATTACAGAAAGCATATCATTTAAAGGGCATTTAAAATTTGAATAAACAAGAAAAATTACAGAAGTATTGATACAGTAAAAACAATTAAAATACAAAAATTACTACAAGTTTTTATGTCTGGCAAAGTTTGTTGAAAAAGTGGATCAAAAACAGCTCATCACCATCTTATTTCCCTTTAAAGGAAAAGTTATATTTATAGACAAGCAATTTTACAAATTGTAGTCTAAAAATTAATGACAATATATTCCTGTGACAGTTGAAAAATAATTTTATTTGGGCAGTCTCAAGCCAATGAAGGGTGAGTTGCTGGCTCCACCAAATCCTCACCCACTTCTTCATTATATATATCTTTTATTAAATATGTATATTCAATATATCAATATTAAATATAAATATATCAATTAAAAACTACTTTCAACTTGTAGCCAACATTAGGATGCTCTTTTTTTTCATGTTGTACTTTTTTACAGATTTTCCTGCATGCCCTATAATTGGGGAGTAAAGATGACAATGAAAATCATGTCTGGGAAGCAGCTGATCTCTATTTTAATTGAGAAATCTAAATGATCTATGTACATCCTAGCAGGAATTTGTAAAATTCTTAACATAAATTTGACCTTATTTAGTAACATTTTGTTATTTATTTGTGGTAATGGCTGCTTTAACATCTCAAACAGTGCTTCTAGTCAGGGAACATGCATTTTTGCAGGCTGCACTGTCTTCTATTAAGTTGAGAAACTTCTCAACTAAGGTTAGAAACATAATTTGTAGAATATTTTGTTATTCATGTGTTATTTCATCAGAGTTTCTAAGCCTTGTGTAAATTGAATTAGCCTTTTGAGCTCAACTGTAGTTTGCAAATTTCACTTCACTGCTCTGACATTTATTTATATATACACATGCATGTAGGGTTCCAGTGCAAGCCACATGCACCAAAATTGATTGGTTGGACAAATTGAAATTTCAACTGCGAGGCTTGCAAATTTGGGCAAAATATACATGTTCACAATATCTTGATTCTACAGTCAGGAAGAAATATATTTTGTTAGAATTTTCTGTTTTATATTTGGTTTCATGGCTGCAATTTGATCTATTGTGACCAAAAATTACTGGTGCATGTGGAGCATATTCCTGCTAATGCCTGACTTTGGTACATATGCAATGAAATGAATTGAAGACAAAAATAATATTTCACTAAATTTCATGTTGAAAATGTGATTTGCCAGTAACTTCTAATCAATGTTAGAGACCAAGAAAATATTAAGATATTAAGGCTAATTGGCTAACTGAATATGCTTAAAATATCAATTATTATAATTATTAATTTTATTATTAGTGGCAGAGAAAAATCTTTTCATGTGTAGGAGACATATCACATTTTAAAAACCACATATATTTCACTAATGATAGAATTCACTCAATGTTGAAGAAGAAATATATCAAATTTATTTTGAACAAGCAAAAAAAATTCTGTGCAGTAAGTGTCAGTCTCTCTCATGATATCCTGAACAATTGAAGGAACAGATCACTGAGGATATCTTTTCCTCAAGGCTGTCTGAGCTCTATCTCCCCATGGTTCCCTAGCTTCACATCAATTGTATGCAGTTTACTAAAAATTGTTTATAATCTTGTCAGGGTATTTCTTTGCACAAATACCTGCATATGTATTCTTGCAAGGTCATTGATTTTTATATCCACTACATCAATTCTTTTTACATTTAGTACATAGAGTATCATTATCTGATGGATTTTATCTTCAGTGATATTCATTTAGAAATATATACTGGCCTATTAATTTAAAATATAATCCATTTAAATCTTGAACAGCATTTCAAGTAACTTGGATTTTTATATTTCTAGATCATGTCAGCCATAATTCTCTCTGTGAAGGGATACAACATTCTTGGTGTGAGGAAGTTCCAAGTTCATTAACTTGATCATTATTGTTTGTGCAGTCATCACCACACTCCAGTTCTCCAAACTTTGGGCTCCTGTTTGACATTGATGGTGTTCTAGTCAGAGGTCGGAAAGTTCTCCCAACTGCTCCTAAGGCATTCTCCAAGTTGCTGGATCAGCATGGAAGATTCCGTGTTCCTACTGTCTTCGTTACAAATGCTGGCAATGCTTTGAGAAATGCAAAGGCTGAGCAACTTTCTCAGTGGCTTAATGTTGAGGTAAATCATTTCAAACCAAAAATTTGAAAATATATTCTCAATAAAAATTTCATTTTAATATCTTGTCTAATGTTTACAAAGGTTTTTTAATACAGAAGCATTCGATCATTGGTAGCCTAAAAAGTCTTCCACATGTAGTAGGTGCTCACTAATTTTAATCTAACTCAAATGTTTGTATCCTGGTAAAGATAATTTAAGGGCAGTAAGCCAGTAACTAACCTCAAGTGGTTCTTTTGTGTCATAATCCTAGCAGTGCTGATTAGCAATTGCCATCAAAATATTACGTTGGTTTAGCTAGTTCTAGATTATAGAGTACTTCATAGTGAACATCAACACAATTAATTACATTTAACATCAGTAGACTTAAATTAATTTTTTAACATCTGTACATTTAATTTTTGGAAACGTGTGAAAAGGTAAATTATTTGTTAACCATTATTGATTTAATTTTATGCATACATCTCTTCATCAGGTTGATGAAGACCAAGTGATTATGGCTCACTCACCTCTGAAGCTTTTTGAGCACTTCATGGGCAAGCATATACTTGTGTCAGGACAGGGTCCTGTCACTGAAATTGCTTATAATTTGGGCTTTCGGAACATAACAACTATTGAGCAGTTGAGAGTTGCATACCCGCAACTTGACTGTGTTGATCAGAAAAGACGCAGCCTCCAGGTGTGTCTACCATATGAACTTTCACTCTACTAGCAACAGTGATGCTTTAATCTTACTAATTATAATGGTATAATATAACATGAACTCTAATTTGAATAGAGCTATATTTTAAAATATGGGATCAATACTGATGAAACACTTTGAGTCGTGAAAGCATTTATTTATTCAAAACACATGTGCAACAAATTGACATATTAAATGTCCTCTCGATCTCTTTATTCACCACAGCCCCCAAGCGAAGGACGCCGCATTGCACCCATTGAGGGCCTCATGCTGTTTGGGGAGCCTGTAAGGTGGGAGACGTCACTGCAGCTCCTGCTTGACGTGCTCATGACTGATGGAGATGTGGAGGCCGTTCCTACATCCCCGTACCCTCACCTGCCTGTACTCGCTTGCAACATGGACCTGCAGTGGATGGCTGAGGCTCACATGCCTAGGTTACACAATGATTTATGCCTGCTAACAAACATAGTATCTTGCATTATAGGTCTATTCACTAATGACGACTCTTCAGCTTGATCCAAACTGCCCTGATACTTGACTGTACATATAGTAGTTAGTTTCTTCTAACTTCGTTCCTACTAAGAGGACTACCTATCATTTCAGCAAACAGAAGATACTAGATAGTGTATTAGATCACTTGCTCCAACATTGAATACCTGATTATTAAGATCTTGCATGAATTGATTATTAATGTAATAATTGTTCTCCTACAATTCTTTCTCAAATTTGAGCATCTGTCAGTCTATTGTCAAGCCCTCAATAAATAACCTTAGAAGTTGTCTCCTAATTAATATGAATGCTTTCTGTTTACCAGGAATTTTCAATTCATATTCTCCACCTCGAAAATTTGGCTTAAATTTTGCCCTTGTAGCTCATAAAATAGCTGATCTATTTTGTGAAATTACATCTGAATGCAAAAATTGTTTTCTCAGGTTTGGTCATGGATCTTTCCTGTTGTGTTTGGAGGCTCTGTACAAGAAAGTTACGGGCAAGGACCTAATATACACAGCTCTAGTTGGCAAGCCTTCAGAGATCACGTACTACCACGCCGAGACTATGGTACAGCAGCATGCCAGGTCTATAGGCATCAACCATCCCATCACTACACTCTATGCTATTGGGTGAGACTAATTTTTGAGGTCTTTCTTATCTCAAGTTTGGATATCAAGACTAATTTCTTATTATGAAATTTAATTATTATTTTACAACCGTAGAATCATATAGTAGTGAAAAGTATTTTTCTACTGGAAAAAGAGTACATTCAACATTTGCATTCAAAAATTGTGAATTGCATATATGCGATATTATGAAAATATTGTTTAGAATGAAGAAAGATGAAATAAGGAAAAAGAGAATAAATGTAGTTTGTTCGAGAAAATGAATTGAACTTCCTAGCTAGCTAATAATACTTCATTCAAAGTAGTCATATTGATTATTGAAGAATAACATTCTTTGCAAATTAATAGTTATTGTAGGTTTGTCGTTATTCTATCAGAATTCAGTTTATAGCATATATTTTACTAAGGCAAATTGTTGTGATCTCATGTAATTTATTTCTCGGGTATTCCGGGATAAAAAAGATTGCTTTTCCTTAATAATTCTGGGATAAAAGAAAGCTTGTTTCACTCAGTAATCTCCGGTAAATGAATTTCGTTAGCCTAGATCATCAAACAAATTATCATTGTTTGTTGTTGCAGAGACAACATCCACACGGACATATTCGGCATGAACCTCTACTCGAACTACGTGCAACGGCGCCGACGTCAGGGCAGCAGCCAACGAGTGGCTATGCAAGGTGCCAGGGGCCTGGACATCTCAAGACAAGACTTCCAGGGCCTCACAGCTGAACACTGCTTCTCCATACTGGTGAAGGTGCGTTAACCACTGCTTCTTCATACTGGTGAAGGTGCGTTGTACACTGCTTCTCCATACTGGTGAAGGTGCGTTAAACACTGCTTCTCCATACTGGTGAAGGTGCGTTTAACACTGCTTCTCCATACTGGTGAAGGTGTGTTAAACACTGCTTCTCCATACTGGTGAAAGTGCGTTTAACACAGCTTCTCCATACTGGTAAAGGTGCGTTAAACACTGCTTCTCCTTACTGGTGAAGGTGCGTCGAACACTGCTTCTCCATACTGGTTAAGGTGCGTTGTACACTGCTTCTCCATACTGGTGAAGGTGCGTTAAACAATGCTTGACCACTAGATTACTGCGAAAGCACCACAAAGGCTCGGTAAATATTTGATATGCATATACAATTATTGATGATTGACACTGACGATATTTACATCCTCTGCAGACGGGCGTTTATGACGAGCATGGAGGGCATCTCTTGGATCACTGCCCCCGTGACTTCTTGCCTGTAGAGGCCAAGCTGCAGCAGCCGAGTATCACCGTCCCATGTGTGCTGCACGCCATAGACGCCATCTTCGAGCGAGAAAACTTCTCATGAAATAGTTTGGTTCATGCAAAATTCCTTGTTTGGGTTTAGGTTTTTCGGTTCTACTACACCGGTCTATCTTTTTTTGCAATAGGAAAATAGTCGGGAAACCGTATGCTTCTTCTTTGGATGTACATTTTTCTGATTCACGGCATCGGTATTATCAAGTTATGGGATATAATGTGTACGAAGTGCGTTGCTGTTCAACTGGGACGCATATTTCTTTTAGTTAACGAAGTTCATTCAAGTATTAACAAATGACCATGAAAATCCTGTTCAGCGAGGAAATGTTTTTAACTGTTGAATGTTGTTTTTAATTACTTTCAACACTTGACCGTCAATCTCTGATATGCTCTACCTTCATTACTTTCACTAAGCCGCTTAGTTATGTGGACGCACTCCTTAATAGTGAGGCCACATTGCTGCTCACTGTCGCCTCGTTTAGCTTTGCTGCTCTCGAGTCACAACTTAGCTCATAACTTTACGTTTGTGCTGTCCTTCAGAAAGGAAATTCAGATTAATTTATACTTTATTGTAAATAGTTATCGTTATTCACCAGATGCGCAGTGGTTTTAGTGTCTAATGCTGATCATGACGTTGTTCGGTTGTAGGTCACTCATGACCTTGCTAGATGAACAAGGCCAGTATGTAATGTTTCAAATGTTTCAGAGCTACGAGCTCAGCCCTTCCCTGCTTCTGTCCTACCTACAGTATCTAAATCGGTTTAGAATTTGATTTCCTTTGATAAGAGCTTAGCGTGACATTTGTTGATTAGATAATCAGTTTTATTTTGAACGTTCGGAATTTATTAAATGCTTTATTCGTATTGTCTACGAAACTACTCATTATTTATGCCTAGTACAAGAATGACAATACGGAATAAAAATATTCTTAGTTACATTGGAGTGGTCTAATTTCTTGGTACTTAATATCTAGTATTATAGATTGTTTTATCTCACGCAGAATTCAAGTGCTTTGAGCATTCACGTCAATGTTATTTGCTTATTTCTAGGTCTCGTTTAAGCTTGGGAAATAAACGTCCTATCATTTGATCACTGGCTGTGTTTAATGAATTTCCATTACATATTTATCGGGCACATATTCTCCGCAAGGAAAATCGAGAATGAGTAATTTATTTTAAACTGGGCCTCGATGTTGGCAAAAAAACGCACAGGCTAGTAAATATGCTAAGTCTGGCATCCTATTGAATGTAAGTGGGTAAGCATTTGTTGTAATTTTCAGAGTTCGTCTTGCTAGTCGAGACTATCTAAGTAATTTCGTGTATGAATTATCAAGTTTTGTTTCCGTTGCTTTTGAAGTGACTCCGTATTGTTCTTGGTAAAATTTAAATTGATTTTGAAGTGGGTCTCTGTGAGTTGTCTAAGAATATTTCTATAAATTATCGGACAATAATTTTGAAAACACATCTTACGTGTGTAAATGAAATTAATCTTGACCAGAAATGATGTGATAGCAATTTTTGAAACAAATAGAACCTGTGAGATAAGTCAATTTATTACTCAAGTCATTTAACTTTCGTTAGCCTGTTGCTGAATAAAATTTAGGGTACGTGTGTATATACGAGTCGAGGCCGGTCATTCTGTCGATTGATTGTGCGAAGTCCACGGAGATTTCGCGTCAAATGGAACATCGCTACTGAGCTATGAATACCGCGCAGCTTGTGAGTTGTGACATCAAACAGCATAGCTTGTTTCTTTGGTCAAGTTGTCTTGTCGGCTATTTTTACCGTGAATATGCTTGTCAACGCACACAACCGAAGTCTCATGTTGAACTTCAAACTTTGCGACTTTGACTTGACTTTGACAATACGATTCAAGGTCCTTTACGGTCCTGTTCATCGGTCGACAACAATTTTTATCAGCACCGCGCACGTCGCAGTGTCTCTTCCAAGATATTCGAAGTCTCATCACTCGTGGCATGAAGGGCTGTACAGGGCCGGGTTGTCCCTCCAGAAACTGTCGAACCTGCTCTTGAAGCTGTTTACAGATGGCGCTGTGACGACCGACTCTGGCAGACTATTCCACGAGTTAATTACTCGTTGTGAAAAGAAGTTGCTAAGTACACTGAGTCGACATGTGCCTTTTGCGAGCTTAAGAGAGTGGCCTCTAGGCTCTAGTATCCCTGTTGATTGATAACTGGAACTTAGGCTTTAACACCCTGTACAGTCCGTGTACGTACTTGTACGCATCAGATAAGGTCACCACGCAAGCGACTATGCTCAAGGCAGGGTAGACGCAACGCTTCTAGCCTCGTGGAGTGTGGCAAATCTCTGATCGAAGAAAGGAGGTTGGTGGTTCCGTCTCTAAACGCCTTCAATGTCAGCACATAGAGTCTTGTGAAACGGCTGCCAAGCTTAATGTCATATTCAACTATGGGCCTCACAAGGCTCGTGTAAAGCTGAACAAACAAATCTCTGTCGAGAAAGTCGAAACTACGCCGTATCACCCCCACAACCTGATTTGCCTTTGTCGTCACTCTTGCCACATGCTCCCCGAAATTCAGATTGCTGTCAACGAACACCCCCAGGTCCCGTTCTACTTCGTTCTCTTGAAGCTGTACTGTGTTACGTGTATGACTTCCAATCCTTTGTTCCCTTCATATGTTCCATTCAACCTTGCATGTAAATCTTTAACGAGTGCGCTAATTCTCGTAGCTCTCCTTCAATTTCTTTCCCGTTATTGATGATTATTTGTCCCTATGTGATAATAACTGCTTATAATTTTTAAAATATAAGCGATTTTATTGCCTTTTATTACTTGTTCGTGACAAATAATCGTTCATGTTGAAAATTATTCATTTTCGAGACTATCAGCTTGTTATTGGTTCTTATTTATAAGAACCAATAACAAGAACCTAAGTTTTCATTCCGATTGGAGGAAGTGGTTCTACGAGAGGGAACGCAGCCTTGAAACACAAGTTTTGAATTTGAACAAAGTCGATTCAGCTGCTTTTCGTACGAGCGTGTTTGGGGCACCTCCCAGGCTCCCGCCGGGTACAGGGTCAGGGCCGTCAGGCTAGTGAGGCTACACTCACAGCTACGAGAGAAGAGTCAGCCTCAGTCAGGTGCTAGATGTGCTATGTCCATTCTCAATATTATGTACAACCTAAATGAAACAGTGACCCTGAAATTATTCCCGTTCGAACATGTTCTCAATCTCAGCAGTCAGCGCTCAGCGGGAATACAGGTTATTGTGGCAGCCTGGCAGGTGGCTTGTAGTTGTGAGCGCTGGCGCCGCTGGGTACCGCAGTCAAAGTTTTAAGAAATTCATTTATACCATGTATCTGGTGTGGATTACAAGGAATGAAAGATTAAATTCCCGAGCAAAAATTGAGCGGAAGCTAGGTAGCCTACCCATGAATTGGCCGAAAGCCTTTTAATCCGGTCTATTTTACCCCTTCGGCGGCCCCTTCCTATGTAGCAATGTAGGTAGGCCCTAGGTATCATTGTAGTATGGCTTACCCTGATTTCTTCAGTGAATAACAGGCTGCCATTTTCAAAAATCTCCCCTGAAAAAATACCTGCTAACAAGTGCTAAGTTAATTGTAGGAAACTCCTGAGTCCTGCCTATTATTCCACATAGGCTAGGTTAGCCTAAGGATGGCGTATGGGTAAAGCAATTGTTGAAATCAAATATATCAATTTACTTAAAACAATATTTCTATCTCTTTCTATTGGCTAACTACCAGAATCATGAACTGATACTGATAGTCTGATAGAGCCTACTGCAATTAGATGAATTATACTGTAGTGAACATATTTTTTATACAGTATTGATGACCTATCTCACTAGTGAATAGGGGTCCCAATTTTGCACTTTCACTACTGTTACCTACTGATTATTAGTAGACTTACTAGGCTAGACCTGGCTAGTTACCTACCTGATCATAAAAATCTGAGATAATTCATCAAACAGGAATCTTGTGGTTCCAATTTCCAAAAGTGATGGAAAAGCTCTAGTGTCTAGTCACTTCTCAGAACTTCAGAAGAGCAGGTATATAAATATATTTTAGGCCTGCACTGCAATTGAAAAAAAATCCCAATCTTTATCTGGATACTAATTTTTGCCTCTAGGCCTAGGGTAAACGCGGTATATTCCGACATTGTGGAATCCTTTAAGTATACTTTTATTCGCTGATTTCAAGTGGTAAATAAATTAATAGATGATTAAGTTGAGAAATGGATTTAGACACATGAAAACTAATTCCATCACAACTTGAATTGGACACACACAGATCGTTCCAAGCTATGTACAAAAATTATAATTTGCTTAATTAAAAGCTTAATAGTTGTTAATTAAAAGCGTAATTAAGTAGTGTTCAATATTCATTACTCATTAGTGTTCTAATTCAAAGCTGTGTTGTATTCCAATACAGCTCACACAGCGAACGGAATTCAAACACGTGGATGACCCAGGTCTCATAAAATGGCAATAGTCGTTGTAATTTCAACGACTTTCGCTGAAGTTATCGACCAATTTTTTTACTTTACAACGACTTTCGAGCTAAAATAATAGGTCATTTATCTTTTTCAACGACTGCCAACTAATGGGACCCTTTCACAATAAACTTCTGACGACTGCCAACAAGCGACTTAGCGAGACCCAACAAGATACGACTGCGGTACTGACTAAAACCCGGACCCCAACAGCGCATTACGAGCGGCGGATGTAAAATGTTCAGCCCCAGGACAATGCAACCATCATATGTATTGAAGCTTGCAAAAATAATCGGACAGATTACGCCAGTGTTTTTTCCACTTAGAAGCTAGAATCAAACTTTCTTGAGGAAAGTTTCTGCATGTTATATTTTTATTTTAACCTTGACATGTAAGAGCATGTAGGTGTGCAATATATTGCGGTGTTTTTATGCATGATATTCATGCATTTTAACCGATTACGTACATCTGAAAATTTGTATGCAAAATATTACTATGTTTGTGTGCATGAAATTCACGCACTTCAACTTAATACGCACATCTGACAGTCTGTATATGATATATATGAATATATCATAAGGCCTGTATTCATGTTATGCGTGCGCTCCAACACTACGTATACATCTGAAATAACCGCAGCATTAAGTTAATTTTTAGAGAATCCATAGTAAAATTAATTGAGAATAATAAGTAATTCAGCTTAAGACATATTTAGCAATCAAATAGTTACTGGGACAGATTTAAAGCGCATTAACCAAAGAATATTGCATACATCTCTACTAATACTCACTCTTCAGAGTGACGCAGGAAAGCCTGTCAGTTCTGGCAGCATACTCCTTGTTGAAGTTAAGTGAGGGATTCACTTTGGAGAATTGATACTTATAATAATGGAATTTACTTTACTGGAATTTACTTTTGCATATTGTCACCACTTAGTGCAGCTGAAACAAATGGAACAGAAAGACAAAGGTGAATGCATGTAAAAATAAATAGGTGACAAAAATTACTATGCAATAAAAGGCATGAGGGTTGAGTGACAAGGGATCAGAAGCCTCACGGCAACAGTGTGACCTCCGTATTTTAGGGAAAGCTTGCATTTGTTTACGCACAATATTTACGGTGAGGTGAAGCGGTGAATTCATTAGTAAAGAAACCTAAGAAGGCACTGCTGGTTTGAAAAATTAAACATTAATGCATTATCTGTTAGGTGTTTGTTGTATATAAAGAATATAATGTACATAGACTTGAGGTTATCTCATTATTAACGACTAGTCACTAGTGTTTTCATTGTTAAGTTATCGAACTACTGAAGAAACCTATCGACTATCGACTGCATAAATCCTATCGACTATCGACTGGCATGCGGTTGTTCAACGACCAGATGACCTTGAGATAAATTTTACAACGACTCTTGTGCCACACTATGAGACCTGGTGGATGACGGCATTACGTATCAGTAGAATTTGAAGCGCGGATGGAATATGCTTCACCACGTGCCAAATATTGTCACACAGTGTCGGAATATAGGGATTTGGTAGGTTTGCATTCTAAAGGCTTTTATATAAATATGGCAACATTTTGTGACGTTTCATCGTTGCTGGCGCGTAGTACGGTGTCTTGCAAGTCACATAAAGCAAACAGAACTCAAGTAACGCATACTGTTATTTTTTTATAGTTTTTCATTTCTTGATGCGTCCTTAATGTGTCGGAATATACCACGTTTACCTTAATTAATGGAAAAATATGCAAATATGCCCTGTATTTCTTTCAGTATTTTTACTATAGCTATATAGAACAGAAATACATTTGTAAATCTCAAGTTAGGTAATTGTCCGTTTCTTTCACGTTGGGATTGTGGGCTCCAGTACTTGTTACATAGACATGTCAACCAAATAAGTTAGAGCAAAATATCACAGAAATGCATGGCTATTGATAAACATGTCATTAAACAAGCCTTAATGTGGTTGGCTGAGATTGTCAACTAAAAACAATGGTTGGTATAAGTGGGCTATAAGTGGTCTTTAACTATTTGACTACGGTATTTGTTATATATTGATTACAAAAACAATTTAAATGTGTTAGCCTGCTTATACAGGGTGGGGCAGAACTGATTGAACAGTTTTGAGGCAAAATAAAAGAGTAATAGAGGTACATAAAGAAGGAAGTTTATTTTCCTCAAGATTAGCATAACATACTATTTAAAATACTTATGTTTTGAAAAAATATCACGAAGATGGAGTTTGTTAGCTGCATCACACTGTTGGAGTTGTACTTGGAAGTTTTCTACAGCATGTTCACACATATGGCGAGGTATGGCCATAACCTCTGCTGCAATTATCCATTCCCTTAGCTGTGGTAGGGTGTGAGGGTGACTTCTGAACACCCTCTCTTTTAGCTGTCCCCAAAGAAAGAAATAGCAAATGCTCAAATCAGGTGACCTTGCAGGCCACTGTAAATCACCCCTCAAGATCGAGACACCAGGCATCTGGGAAACATGCGTTTCAAAACATTGAGTGACATTCATGCTGTGTGAGCTGTAGCCCCATCCTGCTGGAACCACACGTCTCTGAATGCTTCATTTTCAACAATGTTTTCCATCATGGGCTGCAAGAAATTTTGCAGCATTGCAGCATAGCGATCGGAATTCACTGTTACGGTTACTCCCTCCTCTGAGAACAACTCCAACAGTGTGTTGCAGCTAGCGGCCACCATCTTCCAGATACTGTTTTCAAAACAAGTATTCTAAATGGTATGTTATGCTAACCTCTAGGAAAATAAACTTTTTTCTTTATGTACCTCCATTACTCTTTTATTTTACCTCAAAACTGCTCAATCGGTTCTGCCACACCCTATATATTGAGAGGTTGAGATTGTATTGACCTTTTAGGCAATTAGAAAGATTTTCCACCCTAATACGAGTATTCTAATTACAATATTTAATTTCAATCTTTAAATATGTGAATTTAAAGCTAGAAACAAAACAATTACAATTATAAGACTATAAGACAATTTGTTTGGTTATCTTTCAGTTTATGTTTAGTATTTGTTTATTGGTCTGAATTAAATGGGAACAGTGCAGTCAGTCATTCAGTCTCTACTAGTTGGTGTGTATAGAGATTAGAGGGTAGAGTCTGGTAGATTTATAGGACATAAAACTAGTAGATCTATTGATAGTGCTGTGCACTGTGCTATCAGCTACCTATCTGTTATGTGACTCTTCATTGTTTAGAAGATCTGCATTCCTGAAGTGTTTTTGTATATTGAAGCCAGTTAAATGGTCAATATTTAGCTCATTACCTTGCTCCATACAAACTTTACAAAGCTAATGAATAGACTTATCAATAATTGTTTACCCAAAAATCCCTAAGTGGTAAACACCACCTTAGCCTGTTGGCCATTATTGAAGGCAATAAGTGCCATTTTTAGCCATCCATTATGATCCATACACTGTTATTGTTAGTAGGCTAATTGTAACATAAAAAATAACACTTCAAAAAGACAAAAAAAGCTAAAAAAATGAAAAAAATCAAATAAATAAAAAAATCATGAAAAAATAAAAAAAATCATCGATTTTTGCTTTTTTTGATTTAAAAAAAGAATGAAAAAAATCACCAACCCTGGATTAATTTGAGATTTTGAAAAAATTTAGACCTTCTACCTTGCTGGCAATGTTATATTATGACCTTCAGTGTGAAATAGCTTGATAGCTGAAGTGCTAGCAAACCATTTTTCTACTGCTACTACTGCTTAAAAACATTCGCATTTTTTCATTAAAATGAGGTTACTAAGAATATATGTAATTGTCTCTAATTTCTTGAAAATAATACACATATATATATTGTACTCACATTAACTTGAAAATTTTCTGCCAATTATTATCCTTCCAGCACTAGTTACCATGCATTTATTGTCCTGTCAATCTATGACGTGTATTTGCATGTACCTAATTTCAAACAGATTATTATTTATGATTCATGGCCAGAAATTTTGTCAATTGTTTTAATCTTGAGTAATGTACACTTGCTTTTGCTCTGCCAGTCATAGTTTGTTAATATTGATCCATTTAAAATTGTAGAATGAAAAGTATTTCCTTTCTGGAATTTTATAAAATGATATTTTAATGTACAGCATATACGAGTTTAACCTATTACACTTGCTGGAATCTTTATCTCAAAACCTGAATGTGTGTGGACTTGACAGAAAATTCAGATTTGTAAATAACTAACTCAAACATTAAATTTTCAGAGATATTCTAGAATTGTTTCCTTTGTGAAGTAAAGTACATGTATTGAACTTTAGGTCCAGATCCATGATCTAGACTTAGTAATTTTTTAAACATCACAAGTTTAAAATTAGAAAAGAATCGTCACTCTGGCATAAAAAATGTCAAAAGTTAAAAAAATGTGAGTATTAAGCACATCATTAGTGCTTCCTCATTTCTGACATGTATTTTAGGAAGATGGCACTTCTGTGCTGTTTTGAAATTTTAAGTTTTAAGTTCTCCTTGTCTTACTTTTCCACTCAACTGTTAAGCATTTAAGCCTCGAATAATTAAACTTACGCTATGACGTTTTCTATATTGAAACTACATAACCAATGAACATGTAATATGACTCCTCTGTTTTTGGTCTTACTAGTCTGTAACATTTATGAATTATGTAAATTTTGAAATAAATTTCAAAATTTAGAGATTTATTTACTGAAATTTATTAAGATTCTTCTCAACTTCCATAGAAACTCCCCAAATAACTGACAAATTAACATTATATAATTTTTCAATTATACTGGTAGCTGCTCATGTCCTTCACAGTTTCCTGCATTACTACCATATGTTATCAAATAAAACTAAAAGATTTGCCTTTTAATTAACAAATAAGGTTGTTTGAAGTGCTAAAATTGAGTTCTCCTGTTGAATACATTCAGAATCAACAGCATTGCTGAGAATCTTCACTAATTTACCTCATCTGTGAATGTTTTGTAAATAATGTATGCATTCTTCTGGTTTTCAGACTAGTTTGCGGGAATGTTGATGGCCATTTCACAAGTCTCTTCAAAAGAGTGACCAGTGTAAATAATAAAACTGGACCTTTTGAGCTGCTGTTATGTGTTGGCAATTTCTTTGCAGCTGATGGTAATGATGAATGGAATCCTTATAAGATGGGCTCCTCCAAAGGTTAGAAAATATTACCCTTTTTCCAATCAGACTTGCTTATTCATCATTTATATTGCCCCTGAGATATTGAGATAATCTTTATATTTTTTGTTTGATTGTGTACATTGTAGAATTTAATTTAGTATAGTAATCATGGAATTTATCTCATCAGGGGGGAGTTCTTGACAGTCCCAGAACCATAGTGACAAACCAGAGATTTTTTAGAATCTGTTCATTTTTTAATTTCTTCATCTACCGTAAAATGGGGTAACTTTGACAACTTTTTTTTCAAAATGATGCCATTTTTTTACTAGATAAGTTAAACTTAAATTGAAACATGCAAAATACAGGTCTATACTCTAGCTTCACTCACCATAAATTGCTGGCTCCTGCCTCTCATAGTTTTGATGTAATTTCAAAAAAGTGATGGTCTTTGTTACCCCAGCTCTTGGGGTTTCTTTGACCAGGTGGTAAAATCAATTTTATTTTTTGGTAAAATAACTCCAGGTTTTGGTGCATTGTAGTAGAACTCTTCCAGTTACATATGCAAATGACAAATTTGTGGGAAGTGTCATAGTTTGCAAATTGGGGGCGCTGCCCCCCCAATGGGCGAAATGTGACCACCTAATGGCAGCCATGACGGGGTAACATTGACCGGCTTGGAAATTAAGTTAAAATTACCATTCTCTCATAGTTTTGAAGTAATTAAAAAAAAATTGCTGGTCTTTTTTACCCCAGCTCTGGGGGTATCTTTGACCGGGTGGTAAAATCATTTTTATTTTTTGGTAAAATAACTCCAAATAACTCCATGCATTGTAGTAGAACTCTTCCAGTTACATATGCAAATGACAAATTTGTGGGAAGTGTCATAGTTTGCAAATTGGGGGCGCTGCCCCCCCAATGGGCGAAATGTGACCACCTAATGGCAGCCATGACGGGGTAACATTGACCGGCTTGGAAATTAAGTTAAAATTACCATGTATAAGACTCTGTAGAGTCTGAAACATAAAGAAAAAACATTAATAGTTGTATCAAACATAAAATATGTTATATAGGTACCTATGGTAATTTTAACTTAATTTCCCAGCCAGTCAATGTTACCCTGTCACGGCTGCCATTAGGTGGTCAAAGTTCCCCCATTGGGGGGGGGGGGTGGCACCCCCCATTTGCAAACTATGACACTTTCCTAAAATTTGTCATTTGCATATGTAACTAGAAGAGTTCTACTACAATGCATCAAAACCTGGAGTTATTTTACCAAAAAATTAAAAAATTGGAGGGGGTACTCCAACAGGCTTTAAATAATAGCTCTTTTTTGTGGGTCACATTATTAATTTTTAACCTATTAGATATGCAAACTTTTTGAATCTTTCTATTGTGTTACATAGCCTCAGTATTAGGCCTTTGATGGTCATTGACAAAATTTTTCTATGTCTAATTGTTTTTGAGTTTTTGGGGTTTTTGTTAAAAAAACAAAAAGTGGTCAAAGTTACCCTGCCGGTCAAAGTAACCCCATTTTACGGTACTCGATATGTTGTTTAATTTCTTTTGTATGGTAATGCTGGTATTCATACTAGTCTACTTATAAGACTCAAAAATTACCTTAATGAGGGGCAACAACATATGTTCTCCTCTGCCACAATGCCCAGAACAGTCATTCAAGGTTGTTAGAGATTAAATTTTTAATAGGCAGGGTTTCCTCCATCAATGCTGGCCAAGAAATGAACTTAGGACCATTGAAAAGTTTGCTATATATTGATTGCAGGTTTCAGGAAGAGAGACTGGAAGACAGGAAGAGAGAGACTTAATATTTTTATTTATAGAAGCTTTGGAAGAGATACTGGAGTAGCAATGGAAGATCTATTATAAAATTTATATTCAAATGCAATTATCAGGGAAAAGAATTTTTGTGTGAATTTTAATTGTATTGGTTGAGATCTTGACAATATCAATATCAAGTTTGCTCACATCTGTTGTGTACGCTAGTCAATGTATTCATTGTGGTCTCTCCTACTAATATTGCAGCTTGGATTCTTTGTGTTTGACTCCAGTAATGATAAGTGTTACCTACTTCTTTTCAGTTCCGCTTCCAACATTCATCTTGGGTCCATCAGTTGAAAGTCAAAAGGCATTTTACCCTGACATCAGAGGCTGTGAGCTTGCTGAAAATGTTATTTATCTTGGTGAGTTTTTGGCCATGTTCATTTTTTATCCCCAGATTCAACAAATTTTAAAAATCTGTTTTTATGATTCTATATACTGCTGGAAAATAATTTGGATAAATTTAATTTCAAGTTTTCAAGAGTTATCCTATTTCAATAGAATAATAAAGCTTTGCTCTGATAGTGTTGTAATTCCTTCATCAGGCACCAGATTATGTTTTAAATACATATTTGCTTCAGCATTTGCAATTCTGATGTTTTTTACATATTATAATAAAATAATAGTATATTTATTTGTATAATTTCTCCCTTTCAGGTCCATTTGGAGTTTACCAGAGCAGCTCTGGACTGACTATTGCATATCTCAGTGGCTCCCTGGATGCTCCAGCTGATCTATGCGGGTACAGCAACCACAAGGTTCATCACTTCAATATATTTTTTGTCATTTTAGTTTGAATTTTGGTTTTTGATTTGGCTCTAATTATTATTGGTTTGCTGTTAAGACCTCATATTTTTATTTACTGTTGGTGTACTAGGTATATTTTCCTACTATCAGTTTCAGTTCATTTCAAAGATTCACTAAAAAAATCAATGTTTCTAGTAATTGTTAGGTTCAGAAGAATAATTTCATATAGTTATTTTACAGCTATGTGGAGGGAGCATTTGAACTCTGTATTTTGTTTTTCAATTCATATTTTTTCAGGCTAGTTTCTCTGTCTTTTTTTCAGGTGCATTTCTTATTCCAGTGATTATTTCTAAGGAAAATGGATTCAACCACTTTTATTTTGTGGTCTATAAATAAAATTTATTTTGTCTTCATGTCAAAGTCCAAGGGAATGTCATTTTACTTACCAGGATTATTCTTCCACTTTGTTTCTAAAATGCTAAGAATTATTACTAAACTCCTAATGGATTTGTTTAAGCAAACTACTTGTATGGATCATGATATTGTGCTAGGATAGTTTTCATTGATTTAATTTTGATAGATTTGACTGATTTTACAGCGTTTCAGGATGAGCAACTGATTTTATTTTGACTCATTTAACTGATGATGATTTTGAAACGTTTCAGGTTGGGCAACTTGAAGCTGAGATTCGGCAAGCTGGTGTAATTGATATTTTGGTGACGAGCTGTGTACCGAGTCATGTGACAACCTTCACTACTAAGCCGGTATGCAATGGCCATTTCAAATTTTTCTTTACATTTGTTGTTTATAAATTATTTCCAAGTATTTATACATGTATGAAAAACATGAATTTTAACCTATATTTACTTGGATATTTGTTCCTATAATAATGGATCTCACAAGCAACTGTCTTATCAATTATTTTAGTGTAATTTTTCTTCGATTTAATTACTTTAATTAGGACATAAGCATTAATTTGAGACTTTATTGCTTACCGTTCATGCCGAGGTTCGAAAAACAGGTCCAATACTTTAAAAGGGGAGTTACTGCTTCGTCAGTGCTATCCCAGGCTCAACTCCTTGAGTCTCCTTCATAAATTACTATCAGACAAGTGTATGAGTTTGTTGCAAAAGTAATAACCAAGGTTATTGGTGATTAAAAATGGTGAATTTTTTAGTTTTGAACCTTGTTTAATTTAAAAGTATGAGAACAAGCAAATTTAAACTATGATGTTGTAGGAATATCTTGATTCTTTAGTTTTTGACCTTGTTTAATTTAAAGTATGAGAACAAACAAGTTTAAACTATGATCATTTAATGAAATCTTGAAGGAAAAGTCATTCTACTTCTTTCCTCCCAGGAGGGCTTAGAAGACAAAGCCTGTGCGCTGGTGGCCCGGCTAGCAGCCAGTGCACAACCGCGTTACCACTTCTCTTCATTGCCGCAGCTGTTTTATGAACGTCTGCCCTACAGGTAATGACTGGAATTATATTCTTGCCTAATGCACGGTCTGGCTTTGGGAGCTTTGATGTATCACGCCATTAAGCAGCCTTGGCAAAGAAGGAATAGTTAAGTTATTCTGAATCAAGCGTTATTTTACCTAACAACCTAAAGAGTAGGTTTTTGCGTGTTATAAACAGTTTATTTATTTAGATTATTTTTATCTACATTATTTTTATAGATTATTTAGCTGCAAATACTGGCAGGAAGTGTAGTGCAGGCCCTGAGAACCTACAACAGCAAACATCCTATCATCTTGGAAATTCTGGCCTGGCTTTTGCGCCTGGTGGAGGCGGGAAAAACGATAAGCATCTGCTGGGCCCCGGGACACGTGGGGGTGCGGGGAAACGACAGGGCGGATGAGGCGGCAGTGGGCGCTGCTTCGTCGGACGCGGCCATCTATAGGGAGGACGTCCCATGTCACGACCACTACCCCCGCATCCGGACCAGCGTTCACCATATATGGCGCGAGCTGTGGCTGAATACGAGAAACAATAAACTGAGAACAATCAAGGACAGTGTATCAGCATGGAGCTCCTCGTACCAGAGATCCCGACAAATGGAGATGGCGCTGTGTAGACTGAGGATTGGCCATACGCGCCTCACTCACGGCTACCTGATTGAACGGCGCCCTATACCATATTGTGACGACTGCCTGGTGCCACTGACAGTTCTGCATGTCTTGGCGGAGTGCCCTAGCCACAACGATATCCGACAAAACTGCTACCCCAACACATCCGCCCTCGATCATGACGAGATGCTCACCAGAATGCTGCGGGAGGACCGGCCAAGTAACTTCGAAACCGATAACCTTAGACGATACCTGATGGAATGCAACCTGCTGCCAGAGATTTAGCATGACCCCGTAACGCCACCGCCGGTCGGTCATATGCACTTGCATCACCGCCTTTAGCGAGACTATAATCGCACCTTGCCATCACCTAGACCAAGCCTCACTAAGCTTACGCTGGAGTTGATACATGAAGTCGGAGCGGACCCTCGCTCCATGAGCAGGGAATCTACCGCCCAGCCCCTGCGCCTAAAATGGATCAGGCTATAAGCCTTGAAGACGGAAGAGACCAAACATCTTTGACGTAGCTGAAGACCTCACCTCCGGCGCGAAATAGATTGCTATCTGAAGCGCTAGTAAATCTTTTACTACTACTACTACTACATAAACAGTTTACTCCCATGTACGTGGGTGTATTATCTATGAATTTGTGTTTTGAAGTTATTTAGCTCCTATTTTATGAAAGTATAATGCACTAAGATGATTCACTCAAGGCATGGAATCACATTTTTCTGATTCTGCAATTAGTTGAAGGTATTCTTGCAGTTCTCCATTTTACTGATGCTGACCAATGATAGCTTCGAAGATTCTTATTCAATGAATCGGAATTTTTCTAGTGCTGTTCAATCCGAGCTTTTTCATTTGAAATAATAAAGCTGTTGACCACTAAAAATGAAACCGATTGCATGTAAAGAGTTCAAAAAGGATCACAGCCTTCAAAAGCAGACGATTTTTGGCTAGTAAGTTATTAAAAATAGTACGATAAAAATGAAGACAAAGTCTGTTCAAGTTGTTCTTTTGGTGTCATTAAGAAGCTAAGATTATTTGCTTGCATTACTTAACAAAAACCACTGCTTTTTCATTGGTAAAGATTATTTGGTACAATAATTTGCCTGGAACCTGGAAAGCTCTAGATTATTTAGTTGCACATCTCTCTAAAGACAGTCACATTTTGCAGAAGTTGAGATTATTCGGTTGCACAAGTTGCTACGAACCGCCACTTTTTGCTCAGGTTGAGATTATTTAGCTGCAAATATTGCTACGAACCGCCACTTTTTGCTCAGGTGGAGATTATTTAGCTGCAAATACTGGCAGGAACCACCGCGTGTTGCAGGAGCCTCCTCGCCAAGTGACGCGGTTCCTCTGCCTTGCGGGTGTCGACAACAGCGCCAAGAGAAAGTGGCTGTACGCCTTCTTCTTGACTCCGGCGACGCACTGCAAGCAAGACGAGCTCACGGCCCAGCCTTCTGACGTTACAGAGTCTCCCTACAATGAGGCTCTGCTGCCACCTCTGCACCAGGTGCGATACTTACATTTGTATTGAGTTAATTTCGCACAAAAGCTCCAGACAAGCAAGACGAGCTCACGGCCCAGCCTTCTGACGTGACAGAGTCTCCCTACAATGAGGCTCTGCTGCCACCTCTGCACCAGGTGCGATACTTACATTTGTATTGAGTTAATTTCGCACAAAAGCTCCATACAAGCAAGACGAGCTCACGGCCCAGCCTTCTGACGTGACAGAGTCTCCCTACAATGAGGCTCTGCTGCCACCTCTGCACCAGGTGCGATACTTGCACGTGCACCATTTGTACGTGCAGTTAATTTCGCAGCATTTGTACATGCAGCACTTGCACGTGCAGTTAGTTTAGCACAAAAGCTCCATACAACGCCGCTCTTATAATATTCAGACATGTGCACAACGTACAGCACACCTAAATATGTAGAGTTAACATGCAATTAATTTGAAACGTACTGCAAGTAATGATTCCTACTGTTTTTACGTCACTTGTCTAAATCAAGCAGGGTTTTTAAATTATATTTTCCTACTTTGCATGCCCCAAATTAAATTCTCTATTTTTTGCCCTCTCCTGGGAGTTGAATGCAGAAATTTGCGAAGAATTTCAAAGCTTAAATGGGAGAAAGAAGGTTTGACTGAAGCTCAACCTAAATAAATTTGAATACCTCTTGGAAGGAAAGACTGAAAATTTGTAAAAAGTGAGAGATCATTTTCAAAACCCCTGAACTCTAATTAGAGTTCAGGCCTCAAGGTACGAATATCATTGATAGGGCTAATTGATCCCGAGACAGAGTTAATTCGGTCGGGAGTATGAACAGAATAATAACTGACATATTTTCAGATGTGACAGATTTATACTCTGCGTGGCATGCATCACCCGTGGCTGATTATATATATATATTTTTTTTGTGCAGGAGAGCGACGAGATGAATAAATATTTCTACGGCGGAGGCAGCAAGCAAGGCAAGAAGCGGGCCCGCGAGGAGGAATCTGAGGGAGCCAGGCGTCAGCGCGGCCCTCCACAGCCCACTGGTGACTTCTTGCATGCCTCACAAATGTTGTCTTCTGTTCTTTATATTATTTGAGTTATATTGTACCTTCAGAGAAGATTCTCGTATGCTTTACTATGTACAAACACAAATAGAAACAGACCTAACCAATTTACATCCGATTTTAAATTGGAAATAAACTCTTCTTTAGAGCGTTTTTCTACTATAAGAAGTAAATTTGTTGTTTCGGGAACTTACTTTCTTCATCAGCGCTGAGAACATTTGCTTTTTTCCTCTTGGGCCCAATGAGACTACATATTGAATATTCTCAATTTTTCCATCCTAGGTCCATGTTGGTTTTGCTTGAGTAGTCCTGATGTTGAGAAGCACCTCATCGTGAGTGTGGGAGAGCACTGCTACCTGGCGCTTGCCAAAGGCGGTCTTGTGGCGCACCACTTGATGCTGCTGCCTATACATCACTACCAGACCTCCCTGGACCTCGAGCCCGCCGCCCAGCAAGGTTAGTCCCCCTCATGCTGCTGCCCATACATCACTTCCAGACCTCCCAGGACCTCGAGCCCGCTGCCCAGCAAAGTTAGTCCCCCTCATGCTGCTGCCCATACATCACTTCCAGACCTCCTTGGACCTTGAGCCCGCCGCCCAGCAAGGTTAGTCCTTCTCATGCTGCTGCCCATACATCACTTCCAGACCTCCCTGGACCTTGAGCCCGCCGCCCAGCAAGGTTAGTCCTTCTCATGCTGCTGCTCATACATCACTTCCAGACCTCCCTGGACCTCCAGCCCGCCGCCCAGCAAGGTCAGGCCGTGCCATGTTTCCTGAAGTTCTCGTGTACGGGCACCTACTGTTTGAATAACGTGCGCTCCCGTATCTTGACTAAGTATTCCCCAGTATTCCGGTATTATGTGTACGGATCATTTAGACTTTAAGCTCATGACTCCATTGTATTATGCTAAAGATTAATTAGAATGCAGCAGTGGTATAAAAAATTTCTAGCTTCGAGTCAAGTTTTTGAACCATTAAGTATTATGTTATCATGATGACGGCATTCGTGGGTTGGGTAGTTGAAACTATTATCTTCGCAACGACGCAACCTTACCATAAAATTTAGTCCACTTGTAAAAAAGGAAATAATTACTTTCATGTTTTCATACGTATGTTGATAATTACTTTGAAAAACTAAGTCTTTATTTTTCTTCACAGAACTGACGCAATTCAAGTCAAGTTTGCAGAAGTTGTTCACAGCGTCGGGACGGTCGGCGGTCTTCTATGAACGCAACTACCGGACCACCCACATGCAGCTGCACGCCGTGCCTCTGCCGAACGCCGTCGCTAACAACGTCTCTGACGTCTTCCAGGTCAGTAGACGTCTCTGACGTCTTCCAGGTCAGTAGACTTGTAGACGTCTCTGACGTCTTCCAGGTCAGAGAGCTGGTGCGTCGTGTAGAAGTCTTTGACGTCTTACGGGTCAGGGAGCTGGTGCGGGGTGTAGACGTCTCTGACGTCTTCCAGGTCAGTAGACGTATAGACGTCTCTGACGCCTTACACGTCGGGAAGCTAGTGCGTCGTGTAGACGTCTCTGACGTTTTACAGGTCAGGGAGCTGGTGCGTCGTGTAGACGTCTTACGGGTCAGGGAGCTGGTGCGTCGTGTAGATATCTTTGACGTCTTACAGGTCAGGGAGCTGGTGCGTCGTGTAGACGTCTTTGACGTCTTACGGGTCAGGGAGCTGGTGCGTCGTGGAGATATCTTTGACGTCTTACAGGTCAGGGAGCTGGTGCGTCGTGTAGATATCTTTGACGTCTTACGGGTCAGGGAGCTGGTGCGTCGTGTAGACAGACATCTTTGACGTCTTACAGGTCAGGGAGCTGGTGCGTCGTGTAGACAGACATCTTTGACGTCTTACAGGTCAGGCTGGTCCTGCTCTCACAGCCAGTGAAACTCTTCACATCTAAGTGAATCCAAGTGATTATGATCTGTATTCAAGACATAATTTATCAACGTGGAGGGTTGAATTTTTTATTAGTTTTTTTTTTCAATCATTGCTGGCTTTCTTTTGACCTGTTTTCAAGATTTGATACAACAAATGTTAACAATGCTCTGACACCAAAGGTTAATAGCACAAACATTCAGTTTTAACTTGTTTTCCTCCAATCTCCAGATTGATTTGTTCTGACCTGCGAGACTTGCACTTGGCTGAACGAACGGGGTTTGATCCGGCGTTCCGATCGAACACCAAATGTAAATGTTCTTACGCTAAAAAAAAACATTAAAAAAAACCTTTTAAAAAATATAAACATTCAAAAAACATTAGAAGGCTAAATTGCATTGGGTATTCAGGTGTAATACAGCCTTCTAACCACTGTATCCATGTTGAAGACTCATTAAGACTTTGTATTAAGAAACTAATGTTACTCAGAGCATGGCGGCGCAGCAAGACCTACAACTGGAGGAGGTGCCGCGTCGCACGGAACTGTCGGCCGCGGTCAAGTCGGGCCAGCCCTTCTTACTAGTGGAGCCTCCTTCAGGTCCCTGTCTCCTGCTGAGGGTCAGGAAGGGATACAATATGCTCTTCGACAGGTTTGTACCCCATCATTTTATGGAATTTTTCATTACTTTTAAACTTTGACGTAGAAGCGACTGCACTCACACCAAGCGTTAGTAAAACGGTACCTTTTCTGATTGTTGACTGATGGAAAATGATGTGATAGTGTAATAAAATCAATCAAACATCAGTAATTTAGCACATTCTCAGCATTTTTATTTCATTTTTGTTGGAATATTTTTAAGTTACAATCACGATGGTGTGATAATGCAAAAAATAATCATAAACAGCGGTAACTTAGCACATTCTCAGCGTTTTTATTTCATTTTGGACGAATATTTTTAAGTTATAATCACGATCAACTAATTTGACAAATCTGGACGTCGAGCAGACAAGTGTTGGCCAGCGAGGAGTTGCTGAACGTCCCCAGTCGCGTGGACTGGAAAGACTGCAAAGGAACGAGAGAGCAGGAAACTTCTCTCAGGGACCAAGTACGGCAAATGTTCGCGCCGTACGATTTTACTGCTGACGAAGATGGCGACTCAAGCGGCAGCGATAGCGAGTAGAAATTCGCAGATGCTAGAGCTAAATTCGATTATTTATTTGCGTTCACGTACAATAAATATTTACTAGACAACGAGATGTTTAATACAAACGAATGAGCCAAAATAAATTCACAGAGGCGAATTTTTGTCGTTCTTACTAGGCACCACCTGAAAAAGATACGGACATATCATTCATGTATATGACGTCTGTGTAGTATTATATTGTAAGGACGCTTAACCTCTTGTTTCTTTAGCCACTATCAAACTGCATTGGGTGAAACCCCATCATGCGGCTTTACAGCGTGAACGATTGAGTGATATGTTTATAAACTCCTTACAAAACTATAGTAGACAGATCTCAGTTTCATTCACTACATTTTCCATCACAAGCATTAAAAGTGGTTTTAGGCAAACTCCTCTTAAGGTTAAGGATGTGGATTGGAAACCGCTGGACGGAGTGCTGTATAAGGCCGGGTTAACGCCGCACTGCCGGGCACGTACTAGGCATTTGTCGGTCAAGGTCCAGTTCAATATTCTTTAAATTGCATTTCTATAGAATCATTCTCACCATGGGCATGGCAGGTGCCTAGCGCTGCTGGCGTGAATGTTCGTTCCTCTTCAAGTCTTTGAACAATGTTTCGAAGGAGGCCCACCTGAAATGTCGGAATCAACAAAACATTTTGATGAAAGTAGGTTTTCAAAGAGGATAGAGTATGAGGGGAATTTAAATAAATTGTTGAACTAGATACCAAAAAATACCGTTGCAAGGTGATCTTGACAGGCTGGTTGACTGGGCTGATAAGTGGCAGCTGCGTTTTAACGCTGACAAATGTAAAATTATCCACCTTGGCAGGAATAATGAACAGCAAGATTACAGTATGAGAAGACACGGTTGCAACGACAGAGTGAAGATGTCGAAGTCGACAATGGAAAAAGATTTAGGAGTTAATATCGACAACGAGTTGAAATTTTCTAAGCATATTGATTGTCAAGTTAATAAAGCCAATAAACGACTTTGACTGATCAGACGCTCTTTCGAGTTCCTGGATGCAGAAGCGATGAAGCAGTTTGTTGCTGTCGTGCGCCCGAAGCTAGAGTTTGGAAACGTCGTGTGGTCACCGAAACTTGAAAAGGACAAAATTTTAATAGAGAGTGTTCAAAGACGCGCAGCAAGGATAGTTCCGGGCTTGAAAGGCAAGTCCTATGAGGAAAGATTAAAGATTATGAAGCTTCCAAGCCTCAGTTATCGACGTCTGCGTGGAGACCTCATTGAAGTATACAAGTATACTCATGGCTTATACAAGGTCCCAGAAGGATTACTAGAATTTGAAACAAGAACCAACACCATGGGCCACGGCTATAAACTAAAAAAAACGGCGTGGGAACACATCCATGCGACAACATTTCTTCTCGCTTCGAGTTACCGACATGTGGAACAGCCTCCCTGATAGCATCGTTGACGCTCCGAGTATGAACATCTTCAAAAACAGACTAGACGAAGCTATGCAGGAGCATATGTTCAGTCTTTAAATGCCTAGCAAATTACGGACCAGGCAATAAGTCCAGCAGCTATCTCAATCAATCGTCAGCTATGGAAAGATCGGGTTCCAAAAGCCGGATCCCTTGTGAATCAAGTCACGAAAAGTTCAAGAATCGGCAACAGGCCACGGGCCTATTTCTTCAACGCCGACACTTCTATTCTATTCTATTCTTAGATGGATTGTTTCTGTAAGAGAGAAGACTAGACATTTAAGGTCTATTGTCCTCTGGACGACGTATCAGTTGTTCAAGTGTATATACTGTATATGGACAAATCACAAAATTACACGTAAATATATTACAAAAACTTAATCGCCATAGTCTAGTCTGTGTTATTAATTTGCCTTTCCTCATCTTATCCATACCGGCGTCAGAAACATCCGATTTCAAATAGCGCAGCAAGCGACCGCCAAAGTTGGGACAGGGCTAAAAGAAGGAGCATGCCTCCGGTGACGCTGAGTTATTGGGGACAGTGGCGCAAACGGCAATCTATTTGAGTGCAAGATGCGGATTGATACTAGTGTTTGCTAGGAAAAGTGAACTTGATAGACGCTTCGCCGCAAAATTCGTTTTGAATAATAGAGGTTATTTTACATACAAGAGTGTTAAATAAATAATTTTGTTTTGTTTGTTAAATAATTAACACAATGGCAAGACATTTATACATGCTTAGTCCTTAGTCCTTATTTAAATTTCTTTTTTTTTTCATTTTTCAACGACGTGAAAAAAATGCTATTCGAGCCTCACCGTTTACTCCTGCGGAACTGCAACTTTTCTTATGAATTGTAAACTCCTTTGTTCATTGAGACAGTAGCTCTGCTATAGAACCTCAAGTAAGCATGATACTATCTAACTTAATCTAAGCCATTGACTACCATCCCAACTGTTATATTCAGAATTGCCAAATTCATGTTAAATTTGTGGGGCAGAACGGATTCCTCTGAATCGTTTCAATTCTGGAGTTGAACGCAAAGTGAATAAAAAAAAACCTTTATTCCGTTACCGACATGAGTTATCTAAAGATCACGAAACAATGAATGACTCGCTGTGAACCAAGAATACGAATTGCATGTGAAGTTAGGACGCTGAAGTTGGGCTGTTGCACCGCGAGTTTGGCTGGCTGTGAGCGTCCGTGGTAGTCACAAATATTGTTGGTCAGGTATTGTTGATACGCTGGTAATGCGCCTTACAATGGGACAAGCATACTACTGTACCACCGGTTGAATTATCACCGAGTGAGTAACAATTTTAAATGAGTTGACTGCACAAAATTTAATCGAATTTTGTTTATTCAATTCTTATGAGAATTATTAAAACCGAAGTTTTTTACCACGAACAACGATTGTTCTTCCCGATGGACATCAGATTGGCAATGAAGTTGTCTGCTGTCTCGAGATGCCATATATAGGGATTTGTCCATTTTCATATCCACAATACCGGACTATATAAAGTCTGGTCTCAAAATTCGTCTTCATAAATTTTCTTTGAAAATTCGATTGAACCTTTAACAAAATGGCTGGTCTCCAAAGACTCATGTCAGGCTATGCTGTACCGGTTATAGAATGCTCTTCTATGTCTGGCTAAGGCATGTCGGACTGGCAATACGCCAGTCCTGCCTTGACCAGTTGCTGGGATGATCACTGGGATCCCAGATTCTGGGAGAATCCCTGGGTTCCCCCAGCTCCTCGCCGAATTGAGGCGCCGCCCCCCAAGAGGGGGAAGAGATTCGCGCCGCATTCTTGCGGAGACTCTTCTGTGGCTGTTGCAGGCCACGCGGCGAAAGCGACGGTGGCCGGTGAATGGGAGCGCCCAATTCTTGAGGAGTTGGGGCGCTGCCTTCACTTTGCTACTGATTTGCTCTTGGGGGAAAGGGTTAGGGGGGGGGTCCTTCGGGACCCAAAAAATAAAACATCCTGCCTGCTGGGGCAGGGGTCCTTCGGGACCCAATTACCAAGACATCCTGCCTGCAGGGGAGGCTACGATCATTGGAACAGTCAATCCCAGGTGCGACATTTGGCCTTCGTTAGGTCATTAACGGAGCATTCAACTAGACATCATAATTGTCCGGTTCTGACCGACATCCTCAGCTGTTCATTGATTGTGTGTGCCACCTTCAGTGACATCACACTTGCGGTTCTCTACCGTGCCTACAGCACCGATAGTCAGTCACAAGCCAGCCACCCTAGCAACGCGTTTGCTGACTGAAGCTAAAGCCTTGCTAATATAGTCACCCCGCTTTGTCACGCGTTCCGTATCATAAATATAGTTCACTTTAAGTCAACTCTGTCTTTCAGTCCCCTTAACTATCTAAGACCAGACCACTTCTAAGAACCATGAACCGATGAACTGATAGCATAGTTTGTAGTCAAAACACGAGCTGTGACATAATCGTCATTCCGTCAATCTGGTATGCCTCAGAGCAGCGCTCCCAAATTTTATGAGCGACTACCACTTTGAAGTTCCTAACAGTCACAGAACCTCTCGTTGCCTTAGTAGTCCTGATGTTGAGATGCATCTCATCGTGAGTGTGGGAGAGCACTGCTACCTGGCGCTCGCCAAAGGTGGGCTTGTGGCGCACCACTTAATGCTGCTGCCCATACATCACTACCAGACCTCCCTGGACTTCGAGCCCGCCGCCCAGCAAGGTTAGTCCCCCTCATGCTACTGCCCATACATCACTACCAGACCTCCCTGGACTTCGAGCCCGCCGCCCAGCAAGGTTAGTCCCCCTCATGCTGTTGCCCATACATCACTACCAGACCTCCCTGGACCTCGAGCCCGCCGCCCAGCAAGGTTAGTCATCACATACCGAATCCGGAGGATTCGGTATGTGATGACTAACATATTAAATACTAGATATACTAGAGTTATTGAGAGGCAGAGTAATAATATCATTTGATGATTATTGCGTAATAATAGAGTATTATTTGATGATTATATACGGCTTATAGTTTATGGGAACACAGCGGATTTTACTATCCTCTTGAATGAGAATAAAAAAACTTGGAATTGTAACAGCGTTTGTACAGGTGTAGAATTTCCACATTTCTCGAGGTTGAAAGAGATCCTACTTCATTTTCGGTAGACATTGGTTACGGTGCACTCCTCTAAAAAATTTATTTCAGTTGTTTCCTTCTAGCTATTGAAGAAATATACTTAGAACTTGGGATTATTAACAAAAAGTAAAGCCTTTTACTTATGAATATGCAAAGTAATTTTCAGGCTTGTATTACTAGCTATTTTTAAATAGAAAGCAAAAAAAGCCAAATTGAAAAACCTCGTTTCACAAAAAAAATCATTAGGATAAAAAAAGGCGCAAACAATTCTCTGAGAACACCATATGTTTAGGAATAGTACATACTTAGAGAACTTGATAATATTTTACTTTACATTTCCAGCTGTTATCAAGCATATGGAGAGATACTATGTTACGATATCCAAGTCTGTTTCAAAAGCAAGAAAATATCAACAGGTTACATCAGAAAAGTCTATGGACTTTGCTTCGTTCATTTCTAGGCTCACCTCCCATAGTTCCATGGACTGCCAGTGTGATGACTAATTTTTTAAACAAGTTTCATCGTCTTTATAGTATGTTTGCTGAAAAGTGATACGGGGCGTTATTGTCTTGAACCCCATACTGTATATTGATATTTCAAGAAAATTATTGTTTTTTAGGACTAACGTTTTCTATTTTTCACTAAGGGAAACCACAGTATACAAATTAGATTAACACCAAAATTGTAAATGAGGTCAAACTTAAAATTTAGACAGGGCTTAGATAAATTAGATAAAATATTAACAAAGAACCTCTGTGAAATTTATTTCTCCAGCAATGGTCTGACAAAAATTGCGAACAATGCCTCCAAAAAATTTAGATGAAATTCGAAAAAATAACATCTGACAATGGTATAAAAAAAGTGACATCTGGTGGTCGCTATCTGATTTCATGTCAATTTGAGATGTCCTGAATTACTGTAGAACAAGTTAAAGAACCTTGCAATATATATATAACTATATAATTGGTGGGATACTGGGATTTTCAGTTAAGAAGCTAGTACTTTAATAACATAATTTACAAAGAACTGATTTCACAAACCTTGAATTAGTACAGCCACTGTGCAGCTGTAAAATTTGGAAATTTCACGAGTTTCGAGGAGGATATCCATGTTTGTTTTCGGCGGGTATCAGTTAATAACCGAATTAAAAACAACTGAACCCGTACAACTGAAATTCCAACAGTCACTGCTAATTTGTGTACATAATTGACGGAGTTGCGTTAGGGGTACTTGTGCAAAACGTGGGCTCGTGCGTTTCTTTCTAAATAAAAGTGCAGAAATTGTGAAACTGCTCACGGCGTCGCATTGATGCTAATAAGGTTGTTGCTTAGAAATAAAACGAAGTTACTCTCCATGTAGAATTTTCTGTATTAAAAATCATTTGAACGTAATAATTTGAAGGAACACCTGATCCAGACTACTAATTACAGATAATATATGCTACACCACATGTGCTTGACACCGTAGGCTGGTTGACAATTTCTCTAGGTGATTAATGCAATTTGCATTTTTTGTCGATATTTTATGCCTCAGTGGTCTCTGCCAATGTTTTTGAAGCTATTGAACGTACAGACAAATTCTGTTAAATAAGTTTAAATTAATGAAGGGGCATATTCGTAGATACGTAATTATGGACAACTATTTTGCAACGAGTAGGCAAAGTTTAGCGGGTTTTGAGGTAGAAGAAGATTGCTCCGCCGGTGCTGGCGACGAAGAGAACGATGAAGACGATCATGCAAGCCATGAAGGCGTCACTCTGCTTCTGGAGATCATCGTACTCGGCTTTTGGGACCGTTTCCGCTGGCGGGTCAGTAGGGGGAGCTGGAGTCGTTGGGTTTTCGAGCTGCATCTCGATCGTGTACCTGAAAACCAACGAGTGAAGCTAATATTAATGTTTGCCCAGTTCAAGAATGGTGACAAGTTGCAATTGTAATTTTGAAAAGGTTTTAACGAGTGACTAGTTACACCGCGATAAATTTGCTTCTAAACTCGCCTCTCAGGGTAGTTCATCTTCATCTCCAATTCGTCCTGGATGAGGAGGAAGTTGGATTCTTTTTCGGTGAACTCCTTCCAGACTGGCAAGCCCAACGAGTCGTCCTTTTCAGCAGAGGGTTTCCTACGGGAAACATAAGCAAGCATTTAATTATAGCTACCTTGTTTATCGAGAATTCTATCTTTTCTATTCTGAACTGAGCCATGTCTATTAATAACTGCACCATGTCTACTAAGAAATTACCATGCTTGCCATAAAATCCATTGATAAATCCATTATGACCGGTTCCCGTTTTACAATGAAGTATACAAAGCCTATTTAGATCCCTACCATGCCTATAATGAACTATACCAAGTTTATTATAAACTTATCCATGTATATTAACTATATCACGAACTTTACCATGTCCTTTGAGAACTGTACCACACATGTTACAAATTCTACCACATTTATTGATAACTGTACCATGTCTATTGGGTACTGTCTCTCAACCTATATCTCACCCTTACCATGTCTATCTCTCAACCTATATTGTTTTTATAGATGGAATAGCCTTCAATGAGGGCTTATGATGTAATTTATTTTGATAAAGTTAGAGAAATCGACTCTCTCGTGCAAAAAAATTAAAAGCAACGAAGGAGTTTTTTTTTTTCGTGTCGTAGACGGGATTGATGCATAGAAACAAACTTTGAGGATGAAGAGATGGAAAAATCAGCAAAACGATTATTACATCTCATTTTCACTGGAAAATATTTAAAGAAACCTATATAGAACAAATGGCAATAAAAACAATGAGCAAATGAGGATTTCACAGCATGACTATCATAATGTGGCGAATGAGAAGACGTTATTAGTTTGTGATGGAGAGGTTTATGGTTATACCCAGTCTTGGCGAAGTTGGTCCAGAGTTTGACGAGGCGCTTAGAGGTGAGACGCTGTGCCTCAGTGAGCTCAGTTGGAAACGAGAAGAGGTACATCAGCTCATCTGCGTGTGTTACTCCTGCAAGCTCTACAAGAGGATATATAGAAATTAAAAGTTTGTGTGCAGGAACAATGGCAACTGAACCCATCTATCTAAGATGAATCAACTTAAGGCGGTAATTGCAAGACCATCATACGCTGTGCATCAATTGTAATGCGGTAGCAAGTGCTGTGATTGCAAGTCCAACATCTGCTGTGCATCAATTGTAATGAGGTAGCGGCTGCTACTAACTTCATTGTCAAGAAAGTTGTAATATTCGTTACGTAATGGATTGAAAAGTTATAGTCGCTAGTCACATTAATGGCAATACAATGCCTAAAGTTCAAGTGACTATCAAAGTATAAACTGCGTGCTATTCAAAATGTAATCAGACACTGCTAGGGACTAATTGAAATCAAGATTAATTACTGAGGCTAGTTCATAATGATACAATAATTTTAGCAACTGTCAACCCTAAAAATTGCATTCCCGTTTTTTAGTAGGAAAGAGGATTGTCACAGAGTATCTGAAATTTCAAAACGTACCCGTTTTTTTCGATTTCAACAAATAAACTATGCACGAACAATCAATACGCTAAAATGTCTGTCACTTTCTAGTAGGCACAAAGGTATAAAATTTAATGTTACCAACCGCTGTCGAATGGAGGATCAGGAAACATGAGGTCGAAGAGCGAGTTTTCGCTTACGAAGTCAAATGAATAGAAATAAGTGCTTGTATTGTAGAAGCGACTGTGCATTTTGGCGAAGTTGTAAGTGCCGGATTTCAAGAACAGCATTCCCATGAGCTGGAACATACAAGGATACCTGCCAATTTACACCTCGAATATCATTTATTAATATATTTTTATGAGTTCGACATAATATGATTAGTATTTCAATTGAATTGTAAAAAAAATGTTCATTGTGGACTTTAGAGGTGTGAAAGATTTCATCCGAACGAGATAATACAAGTCAACGGAAAATAAACACGGCTTATACTTAAAATAATATTGAGACGTTTTATCGTATTAACCAAAATTTTACAGAACATTGTGAAGTAACAGCATAAAAGCTGTGGCATTCTCAGTATTTACATCGATCATGCCGGGAGTAATGGCATCGATATCGGTCATGTCAACGCCAGGGAAGAAGGTGTCCGCGATCGCCTGCGAAAGGACGCGCGTGCTGTCGTCGATGCCTGAAACATTGACACTTCTTGATGGCCCATTTTATTTCCATTTATTTCATTTGAATATAGTTTTAAATGAATAATTTTATGTGAATATTGATCAAATCGATTGGCATAAGTCGCTTAGAGGTAAGTCGTAAAAGCAGTGAGAAGCAACTGTAAATGGTCTATTTTGACTGCAAATTTGATATAACCTTGAACAGTGTCGATTCAACACATTTTAATATTGGATGAAGTGTGGATAAATGTGAAATAATGATTTAATTTATTTACGTATGTTTTATACGATTGAACCGAACGTGAATCCTTGTGTTGTTGCTAAGCTTTCTAAAGCGCGAATAATTATAAATTATAATTTGAAGCAGAAAATTTTGATAGCTTTTTAATGTAAATCGTTGTCTTTCACGGATAAACATTTTACTTGTTTGCGTTAGGTAACGGAAATCTCAAGCCAATTGAACACTTGGGATGATAGCTCTTTTTTGTCCAAAGCATTGCAATAAATCTATAATTTTGTTACTGAAGTTAGTAAATAGTTGAAAATAAATACAAGATTCATGTGACCCGTAATTTGTTACAACTCGATAAATTTAGTTACAAGTATAAAAAATTAGTTACAAGTATAAAAAATATAACTCAGTACTCACTGCAGTGAGTGACAGAGAGCGCATTTTCTCGTCGACGAAGACTTTAGGTCACGGACAGACGGACGGACAGACGGACAGACAGACAGACAGACGGACATGGCGAGCACAATAGTGCATTTTTCCCATAAATGAGAAAATGCGCTAAAAATTATTGCAATTACCTGCAGCTTTTAGAATATCAGTGATAACTTGGTTGGCCAGGTAGTCCCCATCTTCAGTGAGGTTGTTGGGCTTCAGGTAAGAGTCCAGCATCACTGCCGACAGTAAAACAAATCTTACAAATGCAAGTTTCTGCCTACAGCACGATGCTTAAGTTTGAATTAAAAGCTCGTCTTTTAGACACGTCATATACGTAGTTCTGGCACGAAATAGTTTCTAAAGAGCGAAATTTTTTCATAGCGAAATAGTTTCGTTATGAAACATTCTGGCACGAAATAGTTTTATAAAAAGAAAGGAACTTGTGCATGATATGTAGTTAGGAACCAGATTTACTCACACGTCTGCTTGTATCCATAATAAGAAAGCGTCAAACATCCACAGAGGGAAAACAAAATTAAACGGCATGATAGGGAAAGTACTTATTTGAACCAATGAGTGAAAAACATAGACGTTATAGCCATTAGGGAGTTACTGATGATTCAACCTGGTATTCACAATGGGAAGAAAGTATGAGCAAGCCTAGAAAAAAGAACTATGAGCACAATCAGGCGTTCGTAAACAAAAAGATATATACAAAATAAAATCCTGATTATTAACAAACATACGGGCATAGACGTATGATCCTTCGTCCCTGACGCAGCCACTCATGAAGGGCACGTTGTTGGAGAGCCCCTGAGCCATGTAGTCAGCAGGCAACTGCAACACCGGGCACGAGATGTGATGGAAATTAGGACACTTTTACTCAATGTTACAACCCCCCAGCCATAGTATTTATCTTTCTTGCTTCATACGACATATATATTGGGCAACTGCAACACCGGGCACGAGATGTGATGGAAATTAGGACACCGTTCCTCAATGCTACCACCCGTACATGAGCATTCGTAATGTTTTTGCCGTTTAAAACTACATATTTTACTACAAACGTGTACATTAATGCTTGCAAACTATAAGTACGCCGGTTTTTTTAATGAGCTCACTAGTCTCCGCAAAACTCATGCAATAGTTTCAATAACAAAAACCTTAATTTTTTTCTCAACTCTTTGAACCATTTTTAGCGCATTTTCTCATTTATGGAAAAAATGCACTATTGTGCTCGCCATGTCCGTCTGTCCGTCCGTCTGTCTGTCCGTCCGTCCGTGACTTCACGTTTTCGTCGCCGAGAAAATGCGCTCTCTGTCACTCACTGCAGTGAGTACTGAGTTATATTTTATTATATGTAAAAAGGGTGTTTGCTTCCATGGATAAGTTTTTCTCCTAGCAAATATGCGAGCTTTGGTTAACTTTTTGTAGAACATTAAAGTTGCCGTAGGAATGCAAGGCTTTTGATGCCAACGGGGAAATGATAGCTTGTATCAACTCACCATCGTGATAAGTGCATTTTGTACGATGTCAGCAGGTTGCACTACAGGAGAGACTCCATCAAACCCGATGTTGCCAGCCTTTTGTTGCTCTTTCTGAGAGGTTCGATTGATGAAACAGGATTTTATTACATTATATTATAGAAAAGGCTTAGGTATTTATGAAATCTCTGGTATGGAAGGTTAAAAAACTTTCATCTAAAGTGAGTTAAATGAGAAAGTAAATCAACAGGATCAAGTTATCAGTAAACGTCGAAATTTACCATTGAAAAACGAAAAAATAAAACGAAGGCAAATTCAGTCGTAGATTTTGATACTAACAATAAGATTTCATTTATGACAGAAAAGTTTATCAGAAAAAAATGAACACAGTAACTTCTATGGATTGTGTATCTGTAACTTATTCACGTATAGTAATACATGACAAGAAGCCAATCAATTAATGTCGTTCGAGTTGTTACGTCGCTTTCCTACTGAAAATTACACGTAATTACATTTATTACCGTTTTTTGCGCACATTACGGCCTTAAAAGTATAAATATTATAAATTGTAAACAAGTGGAACGTGATTTTTCTGTCACGATGTCGGATAAAACTCACCACGGACTTTGAAGTACACATCGTAAGCTCAGCCGGAGTTTTTTCAATTTGTAAACAATGCAGGATAGTTGATTCATCGGTGGTGTCACAACCGCAAAGCTCGGCGAATGCGGTCGCCGACTGCACGGGATGTTCGTCTATCGCCCAATACTCGAGCGACGAGCCGCTCTCAGCGATGGCGCGGGCAAACAAGCCTGAGGACAGCCATGAAATGCTTAGGAATACATTCCGGACCGTCTTTTTATCGTAGCTCTGAGGATTAAGTCGATATTTGAATTAAGAACGTTCGACATGTGTTAAACTTGAAGCTACACGAGAATACTAGGATGTAGAGCACTGTGTGGTATAAATGCCGACCGATTTGAAAAAAGTAAGGATTCATGAGCCAAGAGGATGACAATTTTAAATTCGCATTATGCTAAAAAGAACTGAAATAGTTGAGAAGTAAAATATTCCCGCAGAAACAATTATGGTTCACGATCTGACTACGACACCTAAAATCTACTTAAAAATGGTTTTTCGAAAAGAGTAGTTTGGTACAATCTTAAAATCTCCTAAAGTAGCTAATATATTTGGTTGACAAGATTACCTGAGCTTCTAGCTGTAGTTGTTCAAATGATATGCTGTATCGCGCTTTTATTGTTCATGCATACACAATAATTCAAATCCCACACTATGGCTGCTCGCAGATAAGGCTGTAGTTGTTTTTACGGTGCGCTGTCGTTTCTACAAACGTCACGCCGCGCTTGTACAAGTTTAGTTTTCCATTTTTCACGTCATGGCTGTTCACTCGTCATGTTGTGAGTCATCATAAATGGCTGTTGTCACTCATCACAAATGGAAATTCAATCATCACGCCCCTCACCTTTAGCTGCGGGGATGGCGACCAGAGTGCTCACTGACGCAGATCCGGCGCTCTGGCCGAACACAGTCACTTTCTCCGGGTCTCCGTTGAAAGGTTCGATGTAAGCTTGAACCTTTATACCATGCAATGAGATCTTATTAGAACATCGCTCCATATTTAGCGTTAAATATCAATCTGTAACTGATCTTCAATCTGCCAAGTAGATAATTTTTAAATTTAAATCATATAATTTTTGCTTACATAACATGAGTATTCCGTTTGAGTTAAACGTCGAAAACTCTCATTATTGAAAAAAATTCAAAGAGGGCATCAATACAAGTTGGTAGTTTTGAAGTTATCTTGGCAAATGAATTTGGGAAACGTTTACCATTCCTTCAAAACTCCAAGTCGAAGTTTAAATGAGAATCATCTTGGTGAACTGAAAACAAGATTTAAGAATCGAGAAATTTCACTAATTTATTTAATTAGGTGACCATCGAGATAAGCTTATTCTTATTTCGATGCTTTGTGACAGCGTACTATTTTGAAAGCACAATACAACACGAATTACTATGAGATTTCTATGCAGAAATAGGAATACAGTATGGATGGCTTTGGTCTTCAAGGTCAAAGATTTGGCTGAGCCTTCACTTTGACCCAATTTTCGGATTCTTTAAGTAATGGAGAACACTCAAGTGATCATCAAACACGGTCCAAGCCGCGCGCTTGGACAAAGCAATGAGAGTACTTTGGAAATGAGAAAAACTCAAGAGGAGAAGTTATTATGACTTTGAGGTACCACCAAAATTGAATAGGCCTTACCCACTTAAGAGCGTTGATTTGATCGGATAAACCCGCGTTGCCGGGTAGGTCGTTGTTTAGAAGAGAGAGCCAACCTATGGGATGAATAATTAAGTCGATAAATAATACCAGACATTCAATGCTTGCAGTTCCTATAAGCTTTACTGAGTGACGAGCGGAAGGAATCGGAATCATCTCAATCGTCAAAGGAAAGCTTAATTTTAAGTTAGAGATAATTGTCCAGGAATGAGACTGATTGCTAGTAACCATATTATTAGTATGGGGGTCGTCGAAAATTATAAAAGCATGTAGATCTTCAGTATGAAGGATCAGTCAAAAGTGGATGACCACACGGTAGCTGGACTCGCCGAAAGACCAAAGTCTATACTGGATGACCGCGCAGTAACTGGACTTACCGAGATCCCCCAGTCTGTACTGGATGACCATACGGTTACTGGACTCACCGAGAGCCCTCAGTCTGTCCTGGATGACCACACGGTAATTGGACTCACCGAGAGCCCCCAGTCTGTACTGGATGACCACACCGTAACTGGACTCACCGAGAGCCCCCAGTCTGTACTGGATGACCACACGGTAACTGGACTCCCCGAGAGCCCCCAGTCTGTACTGGATGACCACACCGTAACTGGACTCACCGAGAGCCCCCAGTCTGTACTGGATGACCACAAGGATGACATCCTCATCGAGGAGCCTGGTGGGCAGGTAGAGGGAAGCATCGCCACTCGTGAAGGATCCTCCGTGGATGAATACCATCACCGGCAAGGTATCATTCCCAGTCGCTTTATCCTGTGAAAGATTTAAAACCACAACTTTATTCTTCATCCCACCATCACCTGCAAAGGACCTTTCGTCACTGGTTCATACAAACAAAAGAATAAAACGCAGTTTTTGCGTTCGTTCAATTAAATTATTCTAAATGCCATTAGGAATGGCATTCTCCGAAATGTGAGCAATGTTTCACGTCGTTAATTTATTTATCAGTTTCCTATCAATATAGTTTTAAATAATGTATTTTAATATTGAGTTGATCCTGCAGCCATTGTTACTGAAAAGGTCAAACAGGTCATAGAGCAACCATACTAATGTAATTTTTCTTCATTCTGGCACTCTTAACTTCGTAATGTTCAAACGTTATTAAAATATTAACATTATACCTACTTGAAGTTGTTGCAAACGTTATAAATGTAAATGACCACAATGAAACGCTCTAAAGTCGTTAATGTGTAAAGCAGTTATTGAAGTTCATTTGCATCGATGTTAGATTGGTCACACTGGTGAGCAATAATATTGGTAATGTCGATACGTTATTAAATTGGCTACTGTGATGTGATATTTTGGATGCATGAAAGTAGTTGAAATTGTAACAAGGAACTGGAGCGTAATCATTGCAGTGTGCGTTACGTACGTGTTCAGTGGCATTTCTAAATCTGGGACCATACTTTCAAAACTCGCTAAGTGAACGTAAGTACTTACGCTTTATTTTCTTGTCTATAATTGGTGGATTTTGCTTGAAAGACTGACAATGATTGGCTGATGAACTTACGATCACTTAACTTTTTTTTTGAAATTATAGGCCCAGGTGAAGGTGCAGTTTGGAAATCCTATTTAGGTTGTTAATTGCGTACATATTTATTAAGAAGCGTTCTTGGGCCTATTTTGTTCGTTGCTTTTATAAACAATCTGCCAGAAGCAGTGTCCAGCGTGTGCTCCATGTATGCGTGTGCAAAACAAAAGTTTATAATTCAGTGAAGAATGCGTCAAATAAAGCGCAATTGCAAGATGATCTTGACAGCTTACTGAGCTTAGTTAACTGGGCTGATACGTGGCAGCTGCGGTTTAATGCTGACAAGTATAAAGTAATTCACCTCGGGAAGAACAATGAACAGCAAGATTACAGTATGAGAAGACATGGTTGCAACGAGAGAGTAATGATTGAAAAGTCTAGTGTGGAAAAAGATCTCGGAGTTTATGTCGACAAGGAGCTAAAATTTTCTAAGCATGTTAAAACGCAAGCTAACACATCCAACAAACTTCTTGCACTAATTAGACGCTCACACGAGTTCCTAGATGCAGAAGCGATGAAGCAGTTGTTTGTTGCTGTCGTGCGCCCGAATCTAGAGTTTGGAAATGTTGTGTGGTCACCGAGATTTGAAAAGGACAGAAATTTAATAGAGAATGTTTGCTTCGAATCACCGACATGTGGAACAGCCTCCCCGATGACATCGTTGGCGCTCCAAGTATGAACGCGTTCAAGAACAGACTAGATAAAGCTATGGAAAAATATATGTTCAGATTTGAAATGCCTAGCACCATATCGAACCCGGTGGAAGTCGAGTGGCTATTTCAAACTTTCGTCAGTCGTGAAAAGATCCGGTCAAATGACACGATTTTAGATCTTCTGTGAACAAGGCACGAAAAGGAAAAGAATCGGAGACAGGCCGCATCAGGCCTACACTGCAGCGCCGAGATCACTATGTTATGTTATGTTAAAGTGCAGTTGAGGATTTACGTTGACCACTTTGAGGTTAGTGACGCGTTCATTATTTACATTAAATACTTTATTAGCATAATTAATGGAAATCTTCTGTTAAATCTCCATTTACCTGCTTTTCGCAAATTTTTTCAAATTATGCGTTTGCATTGTTTTTTTTTTTTGCAAATTTATCAATTTCGGTGATGATGGTTATGCTCAAGATGATGGCCATGATGATAAAAAATGAATGCCACTCTAGCGTAGGTGGATAAATTTGTCTCTGTTGTATTCAAGATTTGTCTCCATTCAAATAATTATTGTCATTTTACTTTCTCCGTCATGATCGTCACGGTAACTAGAGGGTGATGACATTAATTACCGCAGCTAACGTCCAGGGTGCAGCCAGCACGTTGTAAGAGTGTTTGTCTTCTATGGTGGTGTGCGAGCTGCACCCAGATCAAACCTAACATTCAGGTGGAGGATATTCGTAGTTCTTGTGTGCGAGTGTGGATGCAAACAAGTGTCGTTTTTGGAGCTTGAATAACCGATACTGCTCTGTTATAGTGCCGGGAGGACATGTTCATTTGTTTAATAAAGGGATATGGGGCAAATGTTTTGATGGCGGTTTCTGTTTTGTGTGCTCCTCGGAGGAATACTGTGTTTATCATGGCAATCCCGAAGTGTATAGGCGTAGTTTTTGTGAAGAAATGAAGTTGGCCAATAGGTTTTTGATATGAAGCAGGGCATCTTTGGAGTTGGAAACAAAACTGGATCTATTTCTGTTGTGGAGATTTTGGGGCCTGTTGCAGTTATGATAAGAATGTTTTAATATGGTGTGTAGAGGTTTTATAGGTTAATAAGAGATGATGTGAAGAACGCGAGGTATAGGATACATTTTATGTAGGGTGGGAGGTGGTTATATGGTGGGATAAGGAGGCGATCTTAAAAGCTGTTACTCACCGCAGGTACATACACGTTGAGGTATAGACAATCCTCGTCTCCTTCAGCGAAGTCTCCGACCATTGAGTTTTGCCAGCACTTCGGCCCCATGTGATCGGCAGGATATTCTACGTTATTAGTGCCAAGCTTTTCCACTAGCGCGCTGTACTGTAAGACAGCAACAAGTAAAACAAATATTAGTATTAAATGAAACACTCTTTTCGAATAAGCAAAAAACACTATTTTACGAAAAGATAGTCGGCATGTACTTCCATGCAGGTATTATGATATGCCAATTTTTAATAATATTCGAATAAAATTTATGGAAAAATCGTTTCAACAATTTTGTCTTGTATTTTATTGGGCAAATAGGTGCATCAATTCATGGATAATGGTACCTTGAAGCGACGCGAAGCGCCTGCGTATCGAATGCCAAGGAAAGAGTTGATGGTTCGGTTGTACAGAGACTGCATGGTTGTGCCCACCATCGTCACGCCCAATTTCTCCACCACCACCTTAGGCCCTTCTACGTCACCAGGGCGTCTCAATCTCAACATGACAAACAATAATTGATATTAGGCATATTAGCAATTATTCTATTTCGAATTAAAAAGTAGAAACGTATTAGAAACCAATTCTTTATGTCTTAATTGAAAGTCATACTTAGTCAGATCTGTAATATAAATTTTTGGAATAAATCAATACAACCAGATACACATTTTTTGTAGCTTATACCAGGGAATTGATTGAGCTCCTGATTTCCATCTAAAGTATAGGAATATTTGAGTCACATGGATTATTTTTTATGTAGATCTAAGTTTTCTGCTAAGAAAATGTTATCATCGAGCATAGTTCTCTGAATTAAATTGTTTCCTGGTATGATTTGTGAATAATTTATTAGAACTCTCACCGTAAAAAATTCTTCAACATCCTCACGGCGGGTTTACGATGATCGGAAGGTCTGAGTTTGAATTTTAAATGACATGTTACATCCCTTATTTTTTACGGTAATTAACGGAAATAATTCTGAATGTAATTCTAACGGAAACAATTCTATTACAACTGATTATCACACGCAGACCTCACAGTATATTTCCAAGTTTCACCCTCCGTTATATCATACAATTAAAAGGAAAACTGTCTTCACGAATTATTTCTACTAGACAAACAAAATTCTTGCTTAAACTTAATCATCGAACGCGACACTTTAGTACATAATGGCCATATGCGCTGCAGCAGTGCTCGGCTCGACTCGACTCACTCGCCGCCAGCTTGTTTACAAGCCAAACAAAATTCTTGCTTTAAACTTAAATATTTGTCATAATTAATACCAATCTCCTATGCTCTTTATCCACAATAATTATTACCCTTTAATAATCGAACGTGACACCAAAGTATATAATAGCCATGTACGCTGCGGCAATGTTCGGCTCGGCACGACTCACTCGCCGCCAGCCTATTTATAGACAAACAAGATTCTTGCTTAAACCTTATCTGGGAACGCGATACTTAAGGACATACAGTAATAGCCATATACGCTACAGAAATGCTCGGCTCGGCTCGGCTCGACTCACTCGCCACCAGCCTATTTATAGTCAAACAAGATTCTTGCTTATACTTAATCACCGAACGCGACACTTAAGTATATAATAGCCATATACGCTGCAGAAATGCTCGACTATACTCACTCGCCGCCAGCCTGTTTATAGACAAGCAAGATTCTTGCTTATACTTAATCAGTGAACTTGACACTTAAGTATATAACAGCCATGTATGCTGCAGAAATACTCGGCTCGGCTCGACTCAATCGCCACCAGCTTGTTTACAAGTCAAACAAAATTTTTGCTTATACTTAATCATTGAACTTGACACTTAAGTATATAATAGCCATATACGCTGCAGAAATGCTCGACTAGACTCACTCGCCGCCAGCCTGGCCGTGGGAGGCGAGGACGGTCGAGCCCAGCGCCTGCAGCGGCCCCGCCGCGAGCCGCGCCGCGCGGCCGCCGCTCACCAGCAGCGCTAAGAAGCACAGCGCGTGCAAGGATCCCCTCATCCTTATTGTGGGTCACTTGGAGATCAAGCGTTGAATTATCCTGAAAGGTAATAAGACAAAATCATTAACAATGATTAGTAGCAACAGCGGCATGAATACATGTCAGAAAATCATATTCTAATTTTCCAAGATGTCGGTGCGTCAGTAATTGTATCTAGCTTTGAAGCTTTATAAATTAGAATGCTTTGTTTTTTCTTTATTAATATCTCATTTTCCTGATGTTATTTACGTTTATATACGATTCTTACGTACATCCTGATGGCTAATTTGACACTTTTTTCACTTGTAGCTCAATTAGTCGCTTCAATTTCCGTTTGAGGCTCTGTTCACCAGAATACATTCATTTTACTTATAAGGGAATATTTTCGATTAAGATTAAATTTCAAACACAACTAAAACTTATATTATATTACGACAAAGCTAAGCAACGAAACTTGATTCTACTTAATGTTAGCAAGAATTCCAACAAGGTAGAAGTTTGCATTGCACTTTACCAGGTTTTATTTCTCCCGAAATTATTAACGACAACATCGACATTAGTTTATTTGCGCTGCATGACCGTAAGTTATAGTGATTTTTTATTTTCTTGAATTCCTGTTAACTATATCCATTTAATTATTTGGTAGCTCAAGTTTTTGTAGTCCGCACAAATTTGTAGGGTAAGTTAATCTATTTTTATTCTAATCTGTATACTTGTCTTAATAGTCTTTTTTTATTTCAATATAGTGGAGAATTTTTGAGGACATTGCGTTTTGTGGCAGTTCGATCGTACCTCGGTAGTGCTCAATATTCTGCTATATAATATTTAAGACTGTATCTTGCGCATTCCAGACGGGAAAAACTTGCTTTTATCCTGACCTTTATCTTCAATTAATGATGCACTTTTTTTCTGTGTCTAAAACAAGTTTTTTCTGCAAATCATTTAATAGAAAATAAAATGTGATTGGTTATTCATTTGTGTTAAATTCTAAATTTAATTTGTTACTGAATTGCAAAATCTTCTTATTGAATGAATGTTCTGTAAAGGCTATGTAACTATATTTATTCATGAAAAATTGGAACGATGTACGTAAATAGATTTTGTCAGAAAAAACACCACTCCACGTATTACGAGCACCCTCCAGACCAGTCTAAGAATATGTGTATTCACCTGACAGCCTCACATAAAATTTCTAAAATTTGAACATTATATTTGACTTAGTTGAATGCATCTTACTATGATTAATCATAGTATTAGTACAAGTGCACTTGCGCATGCCTTGCGTTTTTTAAAGCTAATTCGTTTGTATTAAGAAATAATTTAAGGGAATCTTCATCTGGCAGCTGAACGTGCACATACGAGTCGAAAACTTAGTGCAGCAATTCGTAGCGAATTATCAAATGCAAATCTTCAGGAAGCAAATCTGCTTTAGGCCCAGTCAGGGATCTTGGCACGGTTTAGGCATAAATCTACATCAACCGATTACAAGGCATCTCATAATTGGAAAACAGAATCAAGTTCATTCAGGACTCAAAAGATTGCTGCATGCGAGTAATAAACAGTGAGAGGAGGAAAAAAAACGAATTGAAGCGACGAACAGCGGTTTACTCGTCACAAACCATCAATAACGGGCAGCTAAGGCTCGTCAACCTTGGCAGGGTATCTCATATAAGAAACGGAAACTTTGATTCCAAATCTCCGCCGCCTTACGACTTACCGACTTGAGGACAAATCTGATGGAGTGAACCTTAAAAGAAATCAGGAGCTGCAGTCCCTTGGGCGGCTTGACTTAAAACCTAAATATCGGCAAATCCAGCGGCGTACCTGAAGCCGACTGCATTGAAATAGTATTTTTACTGCATTTTTTCATTTATGGAAAAAAATCCGCTATTGTGCTCGTCATGTCCGCCCGCCCGTCTGTCTGTCCGTGACTTTACGGACGGACGGACGAGAAAATGCGCTCTCACTCACTGCAGTGAGTACTGAGTTATATTTTTTTAATCGAGGGAGGTTTGCAGCATCGGCTCTCCACATTAGCCCAGGCGCTGCACCATTGTCTCCCGAGACGAACGGATGCCGACCCACCACGAAGAATACGAGAGTTCACAAGTGAAATTATAGGAGCTATAAGAAAAAAAGTAACTTGCCAGACTGGTACAGAACGACTATAGCACTATGCTGAATAAAAGTAATTAACTTACTCGTTTGCTGAGCACGAGGTAAAAATGGTAAGGTGCTGAAAATATGTACGTATTCGTCTACTGGGGACAAAGTACTTAGACAGGTTATATAAGATTCAGCGACGCAGATGACCACAGCTTTCCGAGTGAAGCCTCACGACGAATTAGATTCTTAATAAAGCTGCAGTAAGATCGGCTGTCCTGCAATCAATTATCGCGGCCGCTCTTGATGATATCGGTCCAGGGTCCTATGGCTGCCGATGATTGTGAAGTCATGCACCGCGTGCGCGGTAGCTGACCTTGAGGTGACGGGAGAAATGGTGGCGTAATGGAGACTTGGGTTTAGAACTGTGGAGTCTGGAGGCCAAAGAATGGGGGAAAGAAAAGAAGACGGGAGAAAGGCGAAGAAGACGGGAAAGACGGGAGAAAGGCTAGAGTAGGCTGAGGATCAGGGTGGTGGAGGCTGGAGACATGGTGGTGGAGGCTGGAGACATGGTGGTGAAGACTGGGGGCTAGGGTGGTGGAGGCTTGCGGAGATAAGTACAGAAGGGTCAGCGCTGATAAAAGTTAGAGGCTGATTTGATAACAAAAATCTGTCTCTAAGAGTGGGAAGGGGTCGGGAAATATCTGTTGATGCGGCAGGTAAGGTTAAGCTATGTTCTATGAAGAAGACCGGTATGAGAACTTGTAATAAATACTTATAGGTGATGAGGTCTAATAAATTGTCGGACTTAATGAGAATATCCTTGAGAAAAATAATTTCCTGTGTTCGTAAGACGAATATTTCAAACAATACCGAAGTCGAAGGATATTTAACTCGACAGATTTCAAAAAACACGCTCACATGAATTAGCCAACAAACTTATTTCGTCTCCAGCAAAAAAGCGAGCTCTAAAAAAACGTCTTCCGTTCCACAACTTTATTATAAGATGCCATTTAATATGCATGGTATCCCATATAAATAACAAAAGTTTAATTGCGCAGGGCTCCTTGCATTTATTATCTCCTGAAACATTTTGTATAGATCGATAAGACAATCAAGTGCCTGGGATGATGCTAGTGTACGTGCGTCTCGTCTGCACTTGGAAGCTTCGCCTGTTATCATAAATAATAATTCTCATAATTATTAATTCGTAATGACATGCCGGGAGTATGCATCAGTAACATGATGCCGCAAGTTTTAAGTAAAATATATACATGGTTGGAACGTAAAGAGGTAAAACTATTTATTTTCGGATATTTGAGTGAATTCTCGGATTAGAGTTGCAGTAATACCGAAATCCATCCGTATTAAAAATAAATAGCTGGGTAGAGCCATTCGTTTCCCTCGAATACAACTACGGGCAATTATCCACTTAATTTTGATAATATATTATGTATAGACAAATTATTTAGACCAAGGAAAGGGGTTTGATAAAAGGTTGCTTAGTGGCCAATTGAAGACTCTAACAATTGAATCTTGACGCCATTTTTGAGAAACAGAATTTGAAATTCTACCACGATGATTCTTTGCATTCGAAGATTTCACATTATCAAAGCCAGACAAACCTTCAATTTCTTAAAACATGCCTAGCCCCACCGGGTAAGTTTGCTTTAGCTTTTTAGCTCATTTTTTCATATATGGAAAAAATGCACTATCGTCCTCCCCATGTCCGTCCGTCTGTCTGTCCGTGACTTCACGTTTTCGTCGACGAGAAAATGCGCTCTCTGTCACTCACTGCAGTGAGTACTGAGTTATATTTTTTTATGGCTGAAGCATGCGCCACTGTGAATCTACTGGTGTCACTTGAGTGTGTAACTACATGTATAATACCTACCGAGTTTAAATATCTTACACGAGTCAGTAATTCATTTATTAGTGCTATATTTATGAAGCATTAACACGTGATTTTTAATTCGGTATATGTAAATTTTATTCCAACATAACGAATGGTTATGTTGTACATTCCTACAGTCAATATCTACTTTTTGAGATATTACCTTATCTTTATGATAATTCTCTCCGCATCCAGCGACAGCTTTATTGCAAGAGACTGTAACACCCATCACGCCTCCTCGTTCTCCTCCACAGACAACCATATAATTGAGGCGAGATAATTCATCATACTTAACTTCATCTCTGCTCTCTCTTCTGTATCCTTATCGAGTATTACACATCCAGTCTTCCATCCCAAATACGATGTTTATTCACCAGACCTCATCTTCATCAATAGACACTTACTCCTTCTCACAATCTGGACACGTCTCGTTGTACCAGATTTTGACCATTTTTTATAATATTTCTCTTAAATTTCACTTCGTGTTGTTAGCTTGTCTGCTATAATTCTTATTATCGACATTTAACACACTTCTACCTGTCCAATCGTTCTGAAATTTTACACACTTGTGTAAAGTTGGAGACGATCTTTGAATAAATCGACAAAATAAATAATTAAATAAATAAAAATAAAATAAAAATGATACATTAAAAAATTATTAATATAATTTTTTTAAATATTTAAAAATAAAATTAAATATTCATTGTACATGTGCAACATCGGAAACACCGGCCTCTTTAGAAATATGTTGTCCTTAAAAAGTAATTTTTTAATACGCATATTATTCATTCTGAATTCTTTCTCACTTTCCCCTTAGAACTTCTCTATTCGCTCACTCGGCTGTAAATTATAATGAGCCGACTGGCCTGCCTTCACAGCTGCAGTTGACTCCTCTCTTGGGGTAGGTCTTTGCGGTTATACCTCGCGTGGTGGTGAGGTGACAGTGGTGTAGCGCCGCGATGTCAAGAGTCACTATCCCGCTGGCTTCGATCTGAAGGACGTTTGCCCCTCCATTGAATTTGATACTTGGTGAAGGAGATGGGATGACATCAGAGCGCGCAAAGTTAATGATCCCAGTTTTCTTGACATCACCCAAGAGATTTCCATTCTCCACGCTCTCGCAGACCCATACAAAGAAGACCTCACATGCTGGCTCCTCATGCGTTGTCGAACTTTCCTAGCACTAGAGCTTTCGCCGCTCCTAAGGTGGACAATGAAGTGCACCCCCTCCAGTTTCGATTTTATCCCTTCATCTTTCACTGTAAGATTGTCATGTCTACTCTCCGTACGTCTAAAATTGTCCAACTGCTACCTCATACGCCACATCCGGACGGACCACGTACTAGGTAGGGAGGGATTTATTCCCTTAAGTATTACTCTATTAAAGCTAGACTTATACACCGCGAGCGATCCACGGGACTGAGGGAACATTGCATGGCACATGGGGTCACAACTGACTTCACACAACTGCACTGACTTCTGTGCGCCAATTTCTGGTCAGAATCAGCGAGGAGGCCGGGCGGTTAAGCACAGCAGAATTGTAGCAGTGAGTTGCGAGTTCGAGACCACAAGATGCTGTGAATGTTCTACGATGTTAAGAATCGGCGACAGGCCTACGGCCTAATAAACGCTGAAACCGCTATTATTATTATTATTATTATTATTATTATTATTATTATTATTATTATTATCATTATTATTATTATACACCTGTCCTCCAATTACATTTATAAGCATGTTCGTTTCAGTGCAAATTTATCTTCTAGATTGAATTCAATTGTGGCTACCGAGAGTAAGTTCCACTACTATGAACGGGGTTTATTTACACGTGCATCTCTGTCTCTACTTCTGTGCATAACACCTACCTGCATACTTGTGCATTTTGTTCCCATGGTTCCCAAATTTTGTTTTTGCAATAGGCTACATGTGCCAGTTTCTTGGGGCACCAACCCCACTATACCAACCAGGCATATATCAACAGATCTACGTTGATTATGAGTTTGTTCCAAGTTGAAATGTAGGTAAACAAGAAAGCAAGACAAATCGACGTCAAGCAGAGATTAATTATCGTTGAGTTACATGATAACCCGAATCAAATTAAAATTGTTTGCTTTCAATAAATATGGAACGAACTTCATCACTTAAACTCTTGATCACGCATAACAATCACGCATTGTGTAAGAAAGTGAAATAGCATTTCAACATGAAGAGAATAATTTGTCATTTATATGTTCTACATTCCTGGCCGGCAGAGCTTTACATCCCAAGGTGTGCAATATGACTGTAAATGTGCAAAAAAATGTTGATTAGCGATTATTTGATGTTGATCATATTTTCCTCGTCAGTTCAACGTTGGGACTTCAAACAAATTCAGATTGTTGGGTTTAAATAAATATGGAACAAAATTCTTCGCTTAAACTTTTGTGAACTCCTAATCTGTCTATGAAGCTTGTAATATGGAGAAAAACTTCAGACTTATCACTCCCACTAAACGTTTTCTATTTTGTTGTTTTAGAATTGAGGATGATTTCAAAAGATCGGAAACATTTATCTAATTTTACTACAGCTGCTCATTAAAAATACTTGTATACTGAGACTAGTCGAGTGATCGATTGCAAAATTACAATTTAAATAAAAAATTTAGCGATTTGAAAAATTTGAAGCATATAAATGATTAAATTTAGGCATCATGTTTTACGATTTTATACTATGTTATTACTAATAAAATCATTCCTTATTTAATTTTCTTCGTAAAAATTAATATGAATCTAATGGATTTGACGTAATCAATGTTATTGCCAAATTGAATTATGTTTCCTTGCATTTTATAATTAGAAACTAAAATCATGAACTTAACGATTTTATTCATGAACAAAAATCATGAACTTAATGATAAACATTTTGTAAAATGACCATTCGACATTAATTTACTTAATTACAATTAATTCGACAGTACGCAACAAAACTTCCATACACCTAACACTACCAGATGTTGAACATTGCTGGTCCACGGCTGGATTGCTGGACTTGATTCCTATGATTCCTATTATTTGATTCCTATGATTTACATTCCCGGCAGAGCTTCTCATGCCACGCTATTCAACATGATTGTAAATTAGACTGAAACTACAACTTTAACTACAACTTAACTTTAGGTCTGAAACTACAAATGCATCGAGTTCGAAAAAAAATAAAATAAAAAGGAGTATGATCGTTTGTGAGTTATGTGCGTTAAAAGATGATGGTCAACTATCTTGGAAGGAGGAGACAAGGCTTAACGAGTTTTGAGGTAGAAGAAGACTGCTCCGCCGGTGCTGGCGACGAAGAGAACGATGAAGACGATCATGCAAGCCATGAAGGCGTCACTCTGCTTCTTGAGGTCATCGTATTCTGTTTTAAGAACCGTTTCCGCTGGCGGGTCAGTAGGGGGAGCGGGCGTCGTGGGGTAAGCGAGCTGCATCTCGATCGTATACCTGAAAACAAACGAGTGACGCTAGTATTAATGTTAGCCTAGTTCAGGAATGGTGAAATATTGAAATTTATTGAAGAATTTATGTATTATTTCTATAGAAAGAAATGTATACAGGGTCTAATAGTCTAATAGTGGCAGCTAAAGGTTTTATGAAGTGACGCGTTATTGTGCGATACAATTGATTATAAACTCGCCTCTCAGGGTAGTTCTTCTTCATCTCCAACTTGTCCTCGATGAGGAGGTAGTTGGGTTCTTCTTCGGTAAACTTCTTCCAGACTGGCAACCCTAACTCGCTGTCCGCCTGAGCCGACGGTTCCCTGTGCAAAATTCATTACATTGTTTGGGACTGGAATATTTTTGACATGTGAAAATGATTTCAGTGATCATGAAACCGCTCATGATCACATGAAATCGGCCGATCATGAAATCGCTCGCGATCGTTGAATATTAGAGTTTATTTTATGAGGCACAAAAAGCAGTGCAATGAGATACAATAGAATGCGACAATAACCTTTGAACATTGACCATGATTGCATCCAGTGCAGCAACATTTGATGGAAACAAAGTAACTTGGCCAATTCTCCCATGAATATGCCCGCGGCACAAATTTGACGGTTTTTATGTTGAAATTGACAAGCACAAATTATAAGCAAAACAATTATTTATTTGTTTTTATAATCCACTCTACCTCATCACACAGTGTAATATTGGAAAAATTACTACTAACAAATGAATATTAAGAAAAATGTGCAATAGAAGATTCACAATCATGACTACCATGAGATGATGAATGTAAAAACACTATACGAGTCTGAGATGAAGTTGTTTATATGTACCCAGTCTTGGCGAAGTTGGTCCAGAGTTTGACGAGGCGCTTCGAGGTTAGACGTTGCGCATCGGTGAGCTCAGTTGGAAGCGAGAAGAGGTACATCAGCTCATCCGCGTGTGTTACTCCTGCGCGCCAATACGAGAACTTATGAAGGCGCCAGAAAAAGGCGTCGTTCAAGAAAAGCAGAATAACATATCAATATAGAGAGATTTATTTGTAATTTTTCAGAGATTGTTGGTAACTGCTGAAGTAACAACAGGTATAAACCAGGTTTAATAATACAGTGTCTGAAGTCATCTTTAGTTTATGTTTAGTACTGAAATGGCTGGTACCCTACGGAGCTGGAAGCCTTGAAACGATTTTAAACCACCGTCCGCCGAAAAGATTTGATCACAAGGCCAGTCTAAGGCCAGTCTAGTCAAGAAAAATACAAGAATCGGCGACAGGCCTATCCAGGCCTATTCTTCAAAGCCGAAGATACTATACTTTAATGGCTAATAAGTAGTGATAATAATTTGCATGGAAGATTTGCTGATAACAACATCACTAGCACAATACTTATTAGTGTGTCATATCCTAAACAAACCTCAGCCTAGCTTATAAGTCAAGTAACATCTTATTTTGCACTGTTTTGGACTATTTAAGACAGAAGAAAGTTTTTGTAGGTGTTTCAGTAATAAATAACAATGCGTAGTGATTATCGGTTCTAAGCGGCGATAGCGGTCGAGAAAGGCGTCAATACCGCATGTTGAATTACGATTCAAAACTTGATCAAAACGTAGCCAAAAACTATCGCTTCTCATGACATTTACTAATGGACTTTAAATAATTACAAACAGTATCAGTTGATTTCTAAATTAAAAGCTTGTAAAATTATACGTCACTGACCGCCGTCGAAGGGAGGATCGATGAACATGAGGTCGAAAAGCGAGTTTTCGCTTACGAAGTCAAAGGTATAGAAGTAAGTGTCTGTTTTGTAGTAACGGCTGTGCATTTTCGCGAAGTTGTAAGTGCCGGACTTCAAGAACAGCATGCCCATAAGCTGAGAAAACAATATTTTATTTCAGGGGGTTAAATCGAAATTTATCATTATTCAAAATTTAAATAGTGCATAATGCTGAAAAAGAATAAAAAAACAATTAAATACAGGTGTTAGAGCGTCACACACAAAATTGATTCTCTAAAATAGATGAAGATTTGTCTCAATAGATGAAGATTGCATACGAAAAATGTTGTTATGAGTAGAGATTATCAGCTTGAATCATATCTTTACTGGCACATCTCAAATCTACATCGATCATGCCGTGAGTTATGGCGACGTGAGCTTTACACACGAAATTGGTTTTCTAAACAGAAAAACGTGTGAATCTTAATAGATGAAGATTACACACGAAAAAATGTTGTTATGAGTAGAGATTGTCAGCATGAACGATATCTTCACTGGCACATCTCAAACCATCGATCATGCCGGGAGTAATGGCGTCGATAGCTTTACACACGAACTTGGTTTTCTAAAACATAAAAATGTGCGAATCGCAATGGGTGAAGATCCCACACGAAAAAATGTTGTTATGAGTAGAGATTGTCAGCATAAACTATATCTTTACTGGCACATCTCAAACCTACATCGATCATGCCGGGAGTAATGGCATCGATATCGGTCATGTCAACGCCAGGGAAGAAGGTGTCCGTGAGCGCCTGCGAAAGTACGCGCGTGCTGTCGTCGATGCCTGAAACATTGAGATTAACTTAGCACTTGTGAATGGAATATTATGAAGCCAAATTTAACATGGCTTTAACAGTGTACGTATAATCATTACATTTTGATATTGAATGATGAATAGAAAAATGTTAAATATTGATCGAATTTAACTCGTTTGTTTCTCAAACGCAATGCATTTCAGTTATTCGCCTTTAATGGCGAATTTGAAATTCGCCCCATGAATGAAAATTTTGCGTCTTCATATCATGGAACGCAAGTCTAACGCCGTTTTAAATATGGCATGATCGCAAAAAACCTAAAATTTTTTTACTGTCGATGACTAGTTGAAAATTAATGCAACAATTTATATGACCGGTAATTATTTAGAGTTTTAATTGTCGTAAATACCTGCAGCTTTGAGAACATCTGGGATGGCCTGGTTGGCGAGGTAATCCCCATTAGTGGTGAGGTTGTTGGGCTTCAAATAAGCCTCCAGCATCACTGAAAACAATTAAATGTTTCAATTGAATTGTTCAAAACAATTCAATTCAATATCAATTCGCATCATTGAAACAATTGAATCAGCATCACTGAAAACAATTATACTCAGTTTATCAATTCGCATTCTTACAGCTGGACTTGTTGCTTATAAAATTACAGTTGGACTTGTTGGTTATAATAGTAATTGTAATATAATTGAAATGAAATTGTAATCTAATTGTAATTCGAATCTTTGCGCCGAAAGTTCATCCCGTTCTTAGAACGGGATGAACTTTGGAATATTATGAGGTCACGCATTAGCTCTTGTATCTTGCTGCATTTCTTAATTATATAATTTCAAATATTCAAATGTAGAACCAATTTATAAAAATACAAGTTTAATGTACGACCGAAGTCATTCCTATAAAATATGGACTAAATAGAATGAACTGCGAGATACACATGGATGATGCGAGAGGAATCTATGGAACATTGACAACTATGAACACGATTTAGTGAAATGAACAAAATAAAAGAAAGAATACTGATTATTAATAAACGTACGAGCGTAGACGTATGATCCTTCGTCCCTGACGCAGCCACTCATGAAGGTTACGTTGTTGGAGAGCCTCTGGGCCATGTAGTCAGCAGGCAACTGCAATCAAGGGCACGAGATGTGATGAAAATTAGGACACCTTTCCTCAATACTACAACACCCAGCCATATTTATATATTTTTAACACGTTTTTCTTAGCTTAGCTTCGCGTTTGTTTGTTTGTTTGTTTGTTGTTAACATTGACAACGAAAATTAGTCCACTTCTGATTGCTCTAGAGATCTGAAATTCGGCATGCAGGCTATTTTCGCCTAACAATTTCAGATACAATCATAAAAACTAGTAATTAGAGACCTAAATTAGTTTAATACTTAATCAAGTTTTAATCGTTTTTCTTGTGGACTAAAAAGTAGAAAATAAAATACTTAAAAAAAACTTAAAAAAAACACGTTTTTCTTGTGGACTAAAAAGTAGAAAATAAATTATGGTTCGCCCCAAAAAAAACGTGGGTCGGGCTGTACGTTCACCATCAAATTTCCAAAATTCGTGTGTTGTGTGCTTTTCGCTTTAATCATAAATCTGCCCGACACACGTTTTTGGGCCGAGCTATAATTTATTTTCTACCTTTTAGTCCACAAGAAAAACGTGTTTTTTAAAAAATTATTTTTAAGTATTTTATTCTTGCTTCAAATGAGATATTTTGGCTCTTATTTCAGTGTGGGCACGTTCCTTCAATTCTTGCACACAGACTTATTTATTCATTTTTCTTACTTCACACGAGATATTTATATTTATAAATGAGTTCACTTCTCTTTGTAACAAGTCGGTAAACTTGATTTCTATCGGAAAAACTTGGATGAGATCTATCCACTAATTTCATGCGCACGCTCACTAGAACAGATGATGTTGTTTGTTTGCTGGTTAAAAAATCATATATTATTTATTATTAAAAATCACACATTCGTGTTGGGTGCTTGGATTTTTCATGCAGCATTGTTGGAGGCAGTGATTCTCAAACTGTTCACGTTAATAAATAATTTGCATGCCACAATAACTATAATGTATTTCAATTGTAAATGTCATATGAAATGTAAATAATACTTCTATTGTAAATGTTGTCATCAGTTATCTACATGAATAATGAAAACGGTCGCATTTTCATCACTTTTAAGAAATAACTTATCCCAGTTTATGACAACTGATTATTGGGTTTAGGATACGAGCGAATAAATTAGTTGTAGCCCAACTTACCATCTCGATGAGTGGATTGGTCACGGTGCCATTAGGCTGCACCACTGGAGAGACGCCGTCAAACCCAAGGTTGGCATTCTTTTGTTGCGTGGCCTATGGGTTCAGATATTTTTTAAAAGCTGTTTAATTTACAGTATTTATGATTAGCAAAAAAATTAGTACTTGGTTCTCATATGAGGTGGGGATCAGCCACGGGTGAAATTCCTTTTGATGTAATTAGTAATGTAGTACCTATAAGCCAACGGAATAAGTAAATGAGAGTGATTTCGGATCGTCGACCAATACAATTTACAGTAAACGTCACTGGCAGATGTTAAGGATCTTTACCGTCAATGCGACGTAGGTGGCCATAGTACTTATGTCTTCGGCCTCCGATGGAAGTGATCTTTATTTGGTAACAGATTAGAACCATAACTTTCCACATAACGCCTAAAAATATACTTAATACTGACGAAACTATTTTAGATGGTATAATAATGTTATCTCTTCACCGACTGCCGCTTTAATTATTTTCAATTCATTTTTGAAATGACCTCATTGGAAGAAGTTGCATAGAACCAGATCTGGCCAGGCCATTCAAATTGGGCAATTTTTGTAAAAAAAAACAACAACTATGCTCTTACGGTGAAACCACGCCACGATGCTTTCCCGTTCAGCTACGTGATATCATATATCGACGGAGCTACTTCGAATGAAAAACCCAGAAGTATCCTCTTGCAATTTGGCAGATTTAATGATAAATACGTTTTTTGCGCACTCTTTTGTCTTATTAAAAATTTTGCCATTTTTAACAGTTTTGCCATTTTTATGTGTTAATCAAACAATATAAATAGTAATTTGAAATTTTTTGCACTTTTTCTATCGACAGGCCGCGAGGTAATGCATGTGACATGCGCTGTGTGGCGACTCAAGCTATATAGTGTCGAAGATCTGGAAGTGAGCATTAGCAGTCGCAGAGTCTATCTAGCTCACATGAGTGCTGCTATAGATGACATTAAAATTTTCATTTAGACGGCAGCTGATGTCTCATGTGACTTCTATATTGATGCGTTCACAAGGTTGATTTTGTGTTTTTTTTTTCATGCGCTCAGACGGGACTCACTCGTAAACATGTTCGATTATAAAAGAAAGTCCTAGTTTTTCTGCCGACATTTTTCCTAGTTTTCTCATCGCAGCTACGTGCTTCACAAGGTCATAACTCACCACGGACTTTGAAGTACACATCGTTAGCTCGGCCGCAGATTTTTTATTTAAACAATCTGCGATAGTTGATTCATCGGTGATGTCACAACCGCAAAGCTCGGCGAATGCGGTCGCCGACTGCACGGGATGTTCGTCTATCGCCCAATACTCGAGCGACGAGCCGCTCTCGGCGATGGCGCGGGCAAACAAGCCTGAGGGCAGCCATAAAAATTCGACAATGAATGTCACATCGCTACTCTTTAGGTCAATCTTCGTTCGATGATCAAGTTTACGTGCTTATCGAGAATATTCCATACATTTTGAAAGATCATCGTGGAACTTTATGCCAATCTGAGAGTATAACAATGTTATAAAAAATGCCAATTGATTTAAAATTTTATCGTTACGATTCAAGGTATTTCAGGACCAAAATTCTGTTAGCATATTCGACAAGGATTTAAAATATTTGTATAATGGAATACTTTTTTTACGGAATCGAGTGATCGAACCATATGTGCAGCGATAAAATAAGAAAAAAATTTGATAAATTTTTAATACTAGATTATTTTAAGAAGCCCCCTCAAGTAAATACCAGCGAAAAAATTGTCCATAACCGAAAAGAAAACGAAAATATCGTACGCAGCCGATATATATGGGCTGGTCCACAAATGTGTGGGGCATCCATGGTGCAATGTTCTTTCACATAGCCTGATGTGGTTGTTCACTCACATCCCGCTGGCGTACTTCACACATCCCGCTTGCGGTGTTCACACACCCCACGGTCATTGATCACACACCCCACGGGCATTGATCACACATCACGCCGGTATTGTTCACACATCACGCCGGTATTGTTCACACATCACGCCGGTATTGTTCACACATCACGCCGGTATTGTTCACACATCACGCTGGTATTGTTCACACATCACGCTGGTATTGTTCACACATCACGCTGGTATTGTTCACACATCACGCTGGTATNATGTTATGTTATGTTATGTTATGTTATGTTATGTTATGTTATGTTATGTTATGTTATGTTATGTTATGTTATGTTATGTTATGTTATGTTATGTTATGTTATGTTATGTTATGTTATGTTATGTTATGTTATGTTATGTTATGTTATGTTATGTTATGTTATGTTATGTTATGTTATGTTATGTTATGTTATGTTATGTTATGTTATGTTATGTTATGTTATGTTATGTTATGTTATGTTATGTTATGTTATGTTATGTTATGTTATGTTATGTTATGTTATGTTATGTTATGTTATGTTATGTTATGTTACGTTATGTTATGTTATGTTATGTTATGTTGTGTTATGTTATGTTATGTTATATTATTTTATGTCATGCTATGTTATGTTATGTTATATTATGTTATGTTACGTTACGTTATGTTATGTTATGTTCCGTTATGTTATGTTATGTTATGTTATGTTATGTTATGTTATGTTATGTTATGTTATGTTATGTTATGTCAGGTATGTTATGTTATGTTATGTTATGTTATGTTATGTTATGTTATGTTATATTATGTTATGTTACGTTACGTTATGTTATGTTATGTTCCGTTATGTTATGTTATGTTATGTTATGTTATGTTATGTTATGTTATGTTATGTTATGTTATGTTATGTCAGGTATGTTATGTTATGTTATGTTATGTCATGCTATGTTATGTTATGTTATATTATGTTATGTTACGTTATGTTATGTTATCAAGCTGGCGTTGTTCACTCATCACTCTGTCGCGGCGGTTGTCCACACGTCCCGCCACGGCTACTCAAATGACAGGCAGAGTTGGAGTTATCACACGCCTCACCTTTAGTTGAGGGGATGGCGACCAGAGTGCTCACTGACACGGATCCGGCGCTCTGGCCGAACACTGTCACTTTCTCCGGGTCTCCGTTGAAAGGTGCAATGTAATTTTGAACCTTTACAGCAAAGAAAATTGATTTGAAATGTACCAATTTATTATTAAATGTAACCAATCATTCAAGATTTCATAGTATTGGGCATACACAAGTTTGTTTAATTTGATCATTGTTATCTTGACAAGAGTTGTAAGATTACAACATAGGCAAAAATTATTTAACTAAATCTTTCGAAAAGTTTTTATTTACTAGCATTAGATAACTACAGAAATAAATTCTTCATCTGTTTCCGACGAAGAAAAGTGACTTCTATAATAATAATAGTTTGATGACCAAGTAAATAACTGAAGGCAACTCTCTACTTCGTTAGCGAAATAAAATTGTCGATTCTAAGTAAAATTTTGCCGGAACAGGAGCGATTCAATGGAGTAGCTTTTCCATCTTTTTTCTCCTTTTTATTTAAGTGTTGAATTATTGATGGTCTTTTACAGTGCACACATTCATAAATTAAACCACAGTTCAGCTGAATTAGGCATTACATAAACAAATCGAACTTCGAACATTTAAATCATCAGATTAAATCATTTTCTCGGGAGGTCAAAAAGTAGCACAAAGCGTATAAAAAAGAATTCATAGAGGCCAAACTGTGTGGACTGAATTTCGTTATTTTCACCGCAACGTTCCACTGAGTACTACAGATCGCTCATGCAATCGCTCGAACACTTTTTCTAAGCCGCGATTAGAAACGTCATTTGCACATCGAAAAATGTCATTTACACATCTAACAGGGATTTGTGTAACCGAAAGGAGAAAAAGCGTTTGCAAAAAATACCCAATTTGAATAATACTTACCCAATGTAGAGCGTTGATTTGATCGGACAAACCCGCGTTGCCGGGAATCTCGTCATTTAGAAGTGAGAGCCAACCTACGGGATGAATGAATACGATGCGGTTGAAGACATTCAATGGAAGTAACTGGAATCAGAATTTTTGCCATACGCCTGAAGCTCAATACCGACGAAAAACCTACATCGAAATTCAGAATTGGATACACATACATGCAAAATATATCCAATATTCTTGTTATAAGCATAGATCTGGTCCTATATAAGATGATTTATACATTGTCGCTATGAAGTCTAAACTGAATTACCACGCGATGAATGGACTCACCGAGAGCCCCCAGTCTGTACTGGATGACCACACGGTAACTGGACTCACCGAGAGCCCCCAGTCTGTACTGGATGACCACAAGGATGACATCCTCGTCGAGGAGCCTGGTGGGCAGGTAGAGGGAAGCGTCACCACTCGTGAAGGATCCTCCGTGGATGAATACCATCACAGGCAGTTTATCACCCCCAGTCGCGTTATCCTGTGAAAGATTTAAAACCACTTTATTCTTCATCCCAACATCAATGGTAAAGGATCTTTCGTCACTGGTTCCTACAAACAAATCAAATAACTATTGTTAAAAGCGTTCAGTCAAAAAAGTCGAATATTATTCGAAATGACACAATGAAATGCGTCTCGTGACATTATTCTGCTAAAGAAATGAAATCATAAAACATTCGTATTTTATGACGTCCTGTTATGGTCACTCCAAATGTGTTTGAGAATGGTGTCATTACAATTCATGTCGAAATATGCGTTTTGTTTTTATTACTATAATTATTCACCAAAAAATTTCTTCCAGGTCTAAATGAATTAGTTTCGAAATGTACACATCAAACAATCGTGTCTACGTAATAAAATTGATATTATAAGTTCAGCAACAAATTTCAATTGTTGAAAATGCCTATGACATTATTCAGCAGCTACTGTTTATATTATCTTAAAATGCTTGTGTAGAGGTTTCGTTTAAGATTTTTAATTAATATAATAAAAATGTTTAAAAAGATAGAATTAGATATAATTGTAAAAATAAGACTTGTAATTATACATGAACGTCACCACAATGAACACGACAATAGCTAACTTATTTTCAAATTTTAAGTATTTTGATTCATCACACCAGAACCTCCTATTAGAGTGAGTACTTAGTTGTTGCAACTGTCATCCCGTACTAATTACTTGGCTTAATAGCTGAATTGATTTATACTGTGAATAATCGTTTTCTATGTATTTATAGTTGTGTATCTTGTAACGATCTGTTATTTATACAGGTTTCTACACCTAAGCCGAAGAAAAGCGTCTTAATTTTGCCCAGGTTTAAGAAGAGATGCTTTACCTGCTGCTGGAGACACAGAAAAGATGGTTTCTGTTGGTAAAGAGGTAGTCTCAATGTTTGGTCACCGTTTCCAATAATAATAATTGTACTGCTGTTAAAATCGTCAGCCGTATTGTAAAACCGTGCAAGTAGGTTCGTTATCAAGTATTATATCGATAACACGAACTCTGCGTCAAATTATGCCAGGTTTAACGATATTCACTTGGTTTAAAACGAAGTCTAAGTAAATGGGTGAACACGGGCCACTTTTCAAATGTAATACAAAAATTTATTAGTCGTCAGCAGTCATCGATTTTTGGCCGGACCAATGGCTTCCAACTTATTTCAGGAATAACCTAATCGCTTAGTTTTTCAAATGAAATTTTACTATAGGAATTATTACAACTATCTATTGTCTACAGTTAGTTTAATCTTAAAAACGTAACTATTCCACTAAAAATTAGTTGTTTAAAACCTTCTTCTCTTACTTTCAGCGTAAGTTTCTTTAAGATTTCATTGATCAGAATCATTTGCTTGCATAATATTTTTGGAAAAACATTTCTTGAAAGTATTTACTGCGATACATATTCAACGCACATAGAAAGGTTAAATAAATCATTACCATATAGGGAAGTAAGTATTAAAGCCGTGCAGCAAAACTGCGTACGGCTTCGCTGCATTTTTGACAATAATTCGTGCAGTGTATTGTACTGCACGATGGTTCACCACACGGTAACTGGATTCACCGAGAGCCCCCAGCCTGTACTGGATATAAATACTCAACTAAAACTATGATATATACTTATGCACTCACCGCAGGTACATACACGTTGAGGAACAGACAATCCTCGTCTCCTTCAGCGAAGTTTCCGACCATTGAGTTTTGCCAGCACTTCGGCCCCATGTGATCGGCAGGATAGTCTTCGTTACCAGTGCCAAGACTTGTTTTAAGCTCGCTGTACTGCAATGCGGCAACAAGTAAAACAAATATTAGGGGGCACAAAACAAAAATTGCGAGTTAATTATAATGTATTAAGAAAGTAATTAGAGAGCGCTCCCATTCACAATTTAAAAATATGCACTTCAAGTTGTATTCGGGTAAAAATTTATCAACATCCCAAGATACTTACTCTGAGCATTTTTGTTCATTGAATGAAACAGTATGTTCAGAAATAAAGTTGTATTCAGGTAAAGATTTATCAACTTCCCAAGATACTTACTCTGAGCATTTTTGTTCATTATTGAACGAAACAGTATGTTCGTAAATAAATCGTGGATATTAGTTACCTTGAAGCGATCTGCAGTCGCGAATTGAATGCCAAGGAAAGAGTTGATGGTTCGGTTGTACAGAGACTGCATGGTTGTGCCCACGAACGTCACGCCCAAATTCTCCACCACCACCTTGGGCCCTTCTACGTCACCAGGCCGTCTCAATCTAACAAGTCATACGAGAAAAATTAGCAAGTTGCACTTTATGATTGACGAGTGCGGACAGAAAATGCTTAATCTTGTATGATCTAAAAACTAAATTATGAACAAGTTGATAATAGAAGATAAAATATTTAATTTATTTTTTTTTTATTTAGGAATTAACGAAAATGAGATCTCCTTCTCAAGTAGGATAATTTGACACTCGGTTACATTTTCATTCATGCAAATCAAAGTTCAATATTTGTATTGATAATAGGTCCCTAAACGTAAGTAAACTACCGAATTTTCAACGGCCCTTCATTTCTCTGAACTCGTCGTTCAGGCCGCATTCTCCAACGTCCTCGTGACGAGATTGTGATGTTCTGAAACTATCATTGTGGGCCTCTGATAACAGCTTATTTCCTATTTTGAACGGTAATTAGCCGAAGGACTCAGTGACTTTTTATTAGACATAGTCCCTTTACTTACGAGCATAATTTAGTTTCATCGTCTCTTGCTCTATCCAGAAATTTAAAATAGGACCACTATACTTATCTCTAACTATCTACATATAAGACTTTCGCTAAATTTTCGAACTCGACAATAAAATTAAATACGATGCCATATACGATGCCATATACGATGCATCGAGGCTCGCTTCGACTAACTCGCTACCAGCCTGTTTATAGCCAAACAAGATTCTTGCTTAAACTTATTCATCAAACGCGACACTAAGAACATAATCGCCATATAAGCTGTAGCAATGCTCGGCTCGACTCACTCGCCGCCAGCCTGTTTATAGACAAACAAGATTCTTGCTTAAACTTAATCATCGAACGCGACACTTAGGTATATAATAGCCATATACGCTGCAAAAATGCTCGACTCGGCTTGACTTACTCGTTACAAGCTGGTTTACAAGTCAAACAAAATTCTTGCTTAAACTTAATCATCGAACGCGACACTTTAGTACATAATAGCCATATGCGCTGCAGCAATGCTCGACTAGACTCGGCTCGGTTCGACTCGGCTCGACTCACTCGCCGACAGCCTATTTATAGACAAACAAGATTCTTGCTTATACTTAATCAGTGAACTTGACACTTAATAATAATAGCCATATATGCTGCAGCAATGCTCGACTAGACTCGGTTCGAGCTCGGCTCGATTCTCTCGCCGTCAGCCTATTTATAGACAAACAAGATTCTTGCTTATACTTAATCATTGAACTTGACACTTAAGTATATAATAGCCATATATGCTGCAGCAATGCTCGGCTCGACTCGGCACGACTCACTCGCCGTCAGCCTATTTATAGACAAACAAGATTCTTGCTTATACTTAATCATTGAACTTGACACTTAAGTATATAATAGCCATATACGCTGCAGAAATGCTCGACTAGACTCACTCGCCGCCAGCCTGGCCGTGGGAGGCGAGGACGGTCGAGCCCAGCGCCTGCAGCGGCCCCGCCGCGAGCCGCGCCGCGCGGCCGCCGCTCACCAGCAGCGCTAAGAAGCACAGCGCGTGCAAGGATCCCCTCATCCTTATTGTAGGTCACTTGTAAATTAAACTCGAAGCTGTCCGATGAATTCTCCTGGAGAAGGAAGAAGAGAAAATTATTGTTCATTAATTTTAACTTTAAGCAGGTTTCATTGAAGACAAGAGAATTTATTTTATTTACAATTTTCTTGCTGTTTTTTTTTCAATATATAGAACAATATTTTAGTTTAGTGCAGTGGTATTAGAAAATCATGGTATTAATGAACGTTTTCAATTCGTTAACAACGTTTCGAATGTATCATTCATTCATTATCAAGTTACAAGAAGCATTGAGTGATGAAATTTGGTCGACATAAGTGCAATATCATGTAAATAGTCAGAAATAGAATCTCAGATATCAGAATTTGATTAGAAATAATTACAAAATCACGAAAATATGAATATGATCAAGAATTAAAGCACCAAAAATTACTCCGAAAACAGCCTCAATGTTCTGACAAATTCAGTAGTTTGAAGGTTGATGGCTGCTGTCCTATCTTTAATGATGAGGGCCTCAGATATGTTCTTCATCGGGCTCACAACTACGACATTAAGCCGACGTCTCAAGTGCCACCTTCGGTCTGGTGGACCAAGGAACCACCTGATGGAGGCCCACAGCGAGACCATCACTCGTACGGTGCTGGAAGAATGCACCAGCGTCGGCATGCGATGCCCCGACACCAATCAACTCATGATAGCTGAGGCCCTCATCATTAAGGATAGGACCCCAGCCATCAACCTTCAAACTACTGGATTTGTCAGAACCTTGAGACTCTTTTCGGAGTAATTTTTGGTGCTTTAATTCTTGAGCATCGTCATATTTTCGGAATTTTGTAATTATTGTTAATCAAAATCTGATTTTCGAGTAGGATCCTATTTATATGATTTTGTGCAAATGTCGCTCCAAATTTCATCACTCAATGCATCTGGTAACTTGATAATGAATTTTTCACGGCATGTAACTTTTTCAGATTTTTAAAATCTGGGAACTAGTTAAGTGTAAATATACTAGTTAAGTATATTTATGTAATTGCACTGATATTAATCGTTTTCCAATGCGATGGTAGAGTTCAAATAGATGGGAATTGTGTCAGCGTTATTTCAGAAATCCTTGGAGTTAAGACGAGCGCGTAGGTAACAACAGTAAAATGATTAAAATTTAATCTAGATGTCACGATTAATGCGGAACAAGGCAGTCTCTGCACTACCAGACACAAAAACACAAAATCAATCAGAAATCTAAAGCAAGCAAAAATTTCGCCGGTGGTGTCTTTTTCATTATGAATCTCTTTTTTTAATTTATTCAAGTTTAGTGTGACTTCTTATTAACTTGCGTTTTAAATTAAATTTTGTTTTGCCATAGATTTGCATAAAACTCTTATTGGAATAATTGTCTGTAAAATTATTCAAACAATGAATATTAATGAATTCTTGTGACGATGTGAATAGGTTTTGACAGAAAAACCACGATTTACGTTTTAGGCACCTCGTTCAGGCCCAGTCTAAGGAAGTTTTCATTCACTTCTAGACCTCACATCAATGTTCAAAAATTTGAACGTTGAGCCTGACTTGCATCGTGAAGTCAAGTTACACTGAACCCGATCAATTGCAGTATCAGTACGAGAGTGCGAGAGTGTGAAAGTGAGATTATATGAGCTACCGGAAAAAAATTGTGAGAACGATTTTACCACGCGCTGAAAAAAAAGACTTACTCGCTTGTTGAGTACGAAGTAATTAGGCAAATGCTGAAAAATGTGCACTTATTCGCCTGTTGATGGACAGGTAAGACGTAGACAGGTTAAGTTTCAGCGAGCGCAGATGACCACAGGTTGTCGAGTGAAGCTCCACGGAGAATTGGATGCTTAATAAAGCTACACAAAGAGCGGCTGTCCGGCAGCCAATTATCACGGACGCTCTTGATGATTGCGATAAGCTTGTCCGGTGTCCATTGGTTGCAGAGAACAGGGAAGTCATGCACCGCGTGCACGCTGTCGGGGGAGGGGCATGGAGGATGGAAGTTCGATGGAGAAGTGGAGGCTGCAGACCAGGGCCTATACTTTCAAAAAAGGTCGAGCGCGTATCGTAGCTGAAGGCTGAAATCCAAGATGGCGATGGCTGGAATCCAGGATAGTGAAGTTGGAGGTCAGGATTTTGGAGGGGGATGCCAAATTGGTTGAAGCTGGAAGCCATGATGATGCTTGCTGGAGGAAGAAGCCTTGGTGTAGGAAAAATGGTGGAGACTGGGGGATAGGGTGGAAGTGGCTTGGAGACAGGGCGGTGTGCGGTGGATGCTGGGTTGTAGAGATAAGAAATAAGAGGACAGAGCACTGATAAAAGTTGAAGTTCGATAAGATATCAATAATACCGAGAAATGGGGAGAAAGGAGGTCGGTGGGTAAAGTGAGGCAACATGTAGCGAAGAAGACCGCTGAGAGAGGCCACCTAGTGTTGTTAATTTGATAATGAAGAACAGGAAGCTAAAAAATAAATTTTATTTTTCATGTGTCCGTAGACTTATGAATGAATTATACTGTGTTGAAACTTAGAAAGTTTTTGGTGGTTAAAACAATCAGGAATATGGAGACGAATTTAATTCTTCTCCTGACTACCAACCTGATGTCAACGAACGAACACTACGCAACGACTTGTATGTTGAATGAATCAAATTGATCTCCATGATCCAAGTTAACAGTTTTAAGCAGAGGAATGTTTCTCAAATCCATTATTTAATAGAAACGTTTTTAGCCGAGCGAGCATAATTATAAAATTCAATCATTAGAGTTTTGGTTGATTATAGTTATATAACTTGGGTCTTTAACAGGGTAGGTCTTGATGAACGAATCGTAGCTATATTGGAATTATTACATTCGTGCAATTTTGATTTATTTGATTAACCATGCAATTTCAATGCGACTTAACATAATAGCTGAGCGTTTTATTGTCCAACTATAATGTAAAAAGAAAAATTTTCGTAAGATTGGGATAAAAGAAAACACATAAAAAAATTTGTTTAAAAATTTGAAGGTTAAAAGTAGGAATTTTTTAAGTGCCGTCATGGAACGCATTGATACTTGGATGGTGCAGTTCTCTTTCATATCAATTATACTATATGGCAGTTATTGCTTTGTAAGGCAATATCATGCGTGGATGAATTCAGAAGTGATTAAAAGTATTTGAAAACGTAATAAATAGAAAAAAGTTTTCTTAGTTATTTAGAGGTAGATGACAAATGGGACTCGCGTACAATATTGTGAAAATTATATTGTGAAAATTCGATAGGTCCTTTTGTTTAAAAAACTCGAAAATTGTGGTTCGAAGATTCAATACCTGCGTAAGGATAAATTATTTATTCCAGAAAGTTTCACGTACTCTGACATTGATCGAGTTAATTCCTTATTATTTATTAGAAATGGTATAAACTGATTTATCTTGCTGCAGTATCTTTAAAATTTTCCGAGAAATGCTGTAAGAAAATTCCTAGAAAATACTTGAAACATTTCCTATTTATGAATCATCATACCACTTCGGAGCCAAAGGACCACGATGATGCGTCATTCAAAATCAAGAACATTCATCATGTAGGTGAAGTCATTCGTAAGTTCACATGACGCAATGGGAGACCGCATACGTCACAGATCTCACCGCCTTGCAATGGCTCATCGATTAACTGTTATTCATTGTTAATATGTGATTTTGCATGTATATGAGATGATGATGATTATATATGCACATAATAACACATATATTTTATTGTTTCTTAGCTTGTGATTTTGCACGTACATGAGATATACGGAGCACAAGATAATTATAAACATAATAAAATATATATTTTATTGTTCGGTTGTGATTTTGCATGTACATGAGATGTACTTGGCACAAGATAATTACATACATAATAACACATATATTTTATTGTTCACTTGTGATTTAGCTCGTACATGATATATAATTGGCACAAGATAATTATATACATAATAACACCGTAAATTTCCTTATTAACTTGTGACTTTGCTTGTACATGAGATATACCGGGCACAAGATGATTACATAATAACACATATATTTTATTGTCCACTTGTGATTTTGCAAGTACACGAGATATACGAAGCACAAGATGAGTATATACAAAATAAAACATATATTTTATTGTTCACTGTGATTTTACAAGTACATGAGACATACGTGGCGCAAAATGAATATATACATAATAAAACATATATATTTTATTGTTCACTTGTGCACGCACATAAGATATACGGTCCTCAAGAAGATTACCCAATGACACATATAATTTGTGTGAAACACATCGTGATCATCTAATAACACAGCACTACAGAGTGTCATGTCGCAAGTATGTTGAAGCACATCCAGACACCCCACTTAGAAAAATCAATGGACCATTTTGTCCAAATTAGTAAAACTTTTGGGATGAATCAGGGATACATTATTTTGCTGGACAAAACTAAGCTTGGTTGGCCTACACAAGGGACAAAAGTGCATCGATATTTGAAAGATTTTTTGAAGTGTTGGCATAAAATTAATGGTTTATGATGCACTTGGTCCAGATCTAATGTAGTTGAATTAATAATACCGTGTCCGGTAGAAATAAATCCCCTGCTACGATATCTGATTAGAAAGATAAAATAAGCTCGGAAGATTATGTTTTCATTAACTAAAACTGTAGATTGTGCTGTTTAAAAATACATGCAATGAATTTCTAATGTAATCATGGATGAAGCAATAAATTCTCCAAATTAGGCATAAAATCTCTAAAATTAAACATTATGTCTCTAGAATTAAAAATTAAGTCTCTAAAATTAGACATTCAGTCTCACATAAAAAATTTAGAACCTCAAATTAAACATTACGTCTCTTAAATTAAATATTAGCATAAATCTCCGAGCAATAACTTATTAAAGTAAGTTCAGCTTAAATCTTCGCAGAAAAACTTATTAAGGAAAGTTCAGCGTAAATCTCCCAGGAATAAGTTATTAAAGTAAGTTCAGCATAAATCTTCGAGTAATAACTTATTAACGAAATTCTGCATAAATCTTCGAGGAATAACTTACTAAAGTAAGTTCAGCGTAAATCTCCGACGCATAACATATTAAAGTAAGTCCAGCTTGAATCTCCGAGGAATAACTTATTAAAGTAAGTTCAGCATAAATTATCGATGAATAACTTATTAAAGTAAGTTCAGCTTGAATCTCCGAGGAATAAGTTATTAAAGTAAGTTGAGCACAAATCACCGAGGAATAACTTATTAAAGTAAGTTCAGCATGAATCTCCCAGGAATAACTTATTAAAGTAAGTTCAGCACAAATCTCTGAGGAATGACTTATTAAAGTAAATTTAACATAAATTATGGATGAATAACTTATTAAAGTAAGTTCAGCAGAAATCTTCGAAGATTAATTAGCAAAAACGAGATTCACCCGATGTTCCGAGTCCCTAAATTGCTGCAATTGGACAATTATTTACCTGGCCATGTATCAAAGCAACGTTTCAAATACGGTACCGGTGATGCACAGGGGCCATACTTTTGAAACTCGCTAAGTGAACGTAAGTACTTACGCCCTAGTTTCTTATCTATGACTGGTGGATTTTGCTTGAAAATCCGTCGATGATTGGCTGATGAACTTACGATCTCTTAACTTTTTTCGAAAGTACAGGCCCAGGCGTGGAACAGGTCGACGAGATCACAGGACCGATCTTCATCAGCTAAAGAAATCTGAGTTCTAAATTAATAGAGAGGCGAAACCCTGTAGATTTTTTTTTTGAGTCTTTTAAATGAACATCATTTCATCTAACACATGTGAAAGCGATAAAAAATTAATACAGCAATTTTATTCCGTTACAGTAATACCGACAATCCCAAAAGATTTTGTTCCCACTGCCATGTCTTTGTTTGCGCGAATAGTAGAGATTAAGAACAATTACTTATACATGCAATAAATGCACACGAGTGAAAACATGTTATCTTGAAGAAACGAAAACATGTTATCTTGATGAAAAAATTGAAAAAAGGAAAACATTACTTTGGTTAACACAGCAATTTTGAATGCATATTTTAGATAGCACTATTCTGGACATAATTCAGTAGAATGTTTAGAAAATTTAGAGATCTGCCTGCCATATGGAGCTACAGGAACTGTGTATAGATGTTCGTGATAAGCGACATCGAAGGTTGCACCGTGATCGATTAGACACTGGTCGTCGTTGCAGGCGTCTTGATAAGACCTGCATGATAACGAACGAAGGAAATGCCGAGCCTGGCTGGCGAGGTCAGAAAATATACTGACCACATCCTTGATGTTCAGAGAATAGCTCATTAGGGTGTATTCACGCAAAAATTTCTATATTTTATTTGGAACATTCATAGGATTAATTTGAATCAATTCTCTCCATGCGGCACGTGAAATATGCTTTTCAAAATAATATTTAACATCTGCTACAATACATAAATGATGGTTCGACACGTGAGGTATATAAGTCAGTGATCTAAAATATTTTTCACATGATGATACCATCATTGACGGCATGAATCTGAAATCGACCACGTGCATTTCCCATCGTGAATGTTTTTGGATTGCTTTACTTGCCAGCTGTTAAAGCTCATGAGCACTTTTTCTAGCAATCATCTGCAATGTTGCTTGTCAAACAGCAAATTGTTAAAGTTTTAACGTGTTTTCTTGATGAATGTTAGCACGGTAAACGGTTAATTATACTCATATGGAAAATGTTACAAGTTTGAAAATTAGATAACTATTAATGACCAGAGCTTGTCTGTAAAATAAAAAATCTAACAGAAAATCTACTGATTTCTTTGTTAGAAAATCAAAATAAGACAAATTTGCCTGCTGAAAA